AGAAGAGTTTTATTCTCTCAAGATATTTCTGGATTTTATAAGTAAAACACTTCAAAATAGATATTCTTCCTTCTATTTAAGTCTCGATTTAATTATGAATAATCACGAGCACTATTGTTTAGAAGAAACCGCGAAAAATAAATACATCTGCTAATAATGAGATAAAACATCGGAATATTCTAAATAAAGAGACATCGAACAACTCAGTAATAAAAAATAATATTATTCAACAAAACTCTATAACTAAAAATGCTGCCTATCAATCTTTAAAAAACAATATCGCGAGCTCTTCGCATCTGGAGCGACAGCATCGGAAAATCGATGCGATTTCATCGAAACGTGAGAGCATGATAAAACGCTTAACGTCCACGACCACGAAGAAGCCTCGAAAAAAGGACAACCAAAGGATCGAATATTCCGATTATTATGACTACGATAGCCCCGAGGCAATTAAAGTGCAATCGAAACGAGACGAGGCGGAGATTGGAAACGATAGAATCGCCAGGCAAATCTCGAACGGTAGCTCTGTCGTCAACAACAATCTGCTCAACAACTATCGTTCGCAGTTCAAGCGACAATTCGCAAACGGGAATTTAATTTACGACGATTCGCTGAAACCTTGGGAAAGCGCTCGTTCTCTGATCGCTCAATCAGAAGAGGATAATAATGCTGTTGATCACGTCGTGCCCACCTACTCCCCGATATTAATCGATCAGAAAATTAATCCGGAGAGCCTGTATTATATTCCCGACGTAACTCAAGAAGACCCGACGTTCAATCAGTTTCAAATATCGAATATCGATCAGTCTTCCAAAGAAAGCATATTACTCGCCCATGGAATAGAATCCTCCACTGACACTTTTATCAATCCTGATCTCGAGCTGCAGATTCCTACCACCAGCGCGAATACCATCTTCGAAGCCGAGCAAATTCTGGACGAAGTGCTACAAAATCGGAATAGGTTGAACGTTCCTCGTCTGTATTCGAATTTAAGTATCGGATCGGAAATGAGCAAACCTGAGGAAGTGCGGGTAATTTATCCCGACGCGAGAGGCTCGAAAGGAGTTTCGATGAACGCGCCACATATTCTGCGCAAAGTTCCCGGTACTTTGAACGTATACGTGGCTGAAAAGGATGCTGGACCCCCGTCTGCGATCAACGGAAACGTTTATCCTACAAGACAACATCTACACAAGGTCAACGATCACGCTCCGGTTTTTCCTCAATCGATCCTCAATCGACCGGTAGAGCACATCTTAATTCCTGATCGAGAGAAGGATGTTTTATCGAATCGATACAAGAGCGATCGAAAACTGACACTGGCCGAGGAAGTTCGGAAAGCGAAACAGGAAGCGGCTGCTCGAATTTTTCGCGAACGATACAAGAATGAAGAGCCGGCGAACGGTAAAGTACGCGATGATTTTACACCTGGAACGAAGACGACGGAAGAAACTCAACGGGCGTATGTTTCTGCGACGTTAAACGAAACCAAGGAAGTCGCGAATCAGATACTAGAAAAAATTGTCGACGAACTGGAGGAGATTAAATCGGATCAAGCGACTGAGAACGAGCAAATAGAAGGTTATTACATTAAGCTTTTAACAAGCGAACATTTAATTAGCGAGATATTTAATTAATATTAAAGCTAACTCTTTATTTTTTAATTTAAATTTCGATCAATCAGTATATACATACTAATTAAAAATTAAAGGTATTTTAAACCTTTTTCAAGGAAAAAACAATTTATAAATAAGTCTACCTTCACAACTAAAGTTTAGTAGAGTAAAAAACTTGCATACTGGTTTTATCTCGAATATGAGAATAGTTTAACAAAACACTTGTTAAAAAAATATCGTCGAACACACACGCGCATACATGTTTTGATAAATGGATGAAACTTTATTCAGGTTTCCCTTGCAAAATATCGGGCTCATGGGTGACCACGCAAGGTGGAGTGCGGATCGACATGAAGGTCGGTAATCGCACCATAAACGTAACTCTGACGAGATTGTCACCTCTGCCCGCTCATCAGGGTTTCTTGGATCTCACCTGGAATTTGACCGGAAACGCACCCTTCGCTGCGGGTGGACCGTTCTCCTTGCTCGCGATTGACAATCGTACAAAGTCTCTGGCGGTCTTCGCAGGTATTCCGACGATAAATTAGATTTTTTATTTGCGCGAGAAAAATTAAAAAATTAAATTAAATAATTTATTTGAAAAATTTAATTTATTTTAAATTAATTAAAAAATGTAAAAAAAGATGTGATACGCAGGTGCGTGCAGAGTGTGTCAAGGTATCGACACGATAGTGGGTGTTTGGTCGATCGCTCATAATCCGCAGGATTGCGGAGACTTTCAAATAGCCACGAATATTTATAACGACGTATTTCGCCGTACTAAATTATCGTCGGAGATGAAAAGGAAACACCGAGAGATCGTAAGATTGCTTGAAAAAAGCAACAAGGAGAACGCAACAGCCTCGACCTTGACCTCGAGTAATGCAGTACAGCACAATAATACGTTTCAACAAAAAAAAGCAAAAAAAGACAATATTTAGATCAAAAAAAGGAATTAATAGAATGATAATAGATAGAGAATGATAATAGATAGAGAAAAAATTTGCTAGAAAAAAAAGATATACCTAAAGTCTTTCATATTAGCAATAATTTATGTAAACTTAAAAAAGTATAAGCTTTTGTATTTTCTTGATTAATAATTATCAATATTGCTCATATCGATATAATTTTAAGGAGTACACATTATGTAGACGTTCTAAAATAAATTTTTATTTGTAAATTTGACTAGAACAACGAAAGCGCGCGCTACGCTTTATTTCTTAATTTCTTATTTTTATATTAACTTTTAATACTTTATAGAACTTGCTAAAAAAACATTTTTCCTTAATATTAGTATTATTTTTCCTAATATTAGTTTTATTTTTCATAATATTAGTTTTGTTTTTCCTAATATTTGTATTATTTTTCCTAAGATTAGTATTATTTTTCTTCTAATATTAGTTTTATTTTTCCTAATATTAGTTTTTAATTAGTTAATTGAAAAAAGAGAAGTCACTGCAGTAATTTCCTCCCAGAAAGTAAAAAAAATTTCGTGTTCTGCATTTAAGCATTTAAATAATTATAAAGATTTTTTTACATAATATATTCAGCTTAATTATATTATTCAAAAGTGTTATTATACAATATTATATTCAAATCAGATACATGTATTTCACAATGAAGGTTTAGTTTGCGATTGCAAGACAATCGCGATTTCAGAAAATTGAAATAGTATCAAATTCAAAACTTCTTTAATTTGCCTTTTTTCTATTTCTCTCGAATTTGTGATATATATATATAAGTTATTCTGTAAATATAGATTAAATTTCGAGCAACGACTCTAACGAGTGTCGAAAAATTAAAACGATGTCAATTCTCTTCATCTGCTATTCTGAGAACAAACATTTTCTTTCTCGATACCTACACGGTGTCTTGAACAAATAAGAATAAAATGTTATGAATGAGAATGGCAGAAATATTACATTACGTAGATAATTAGTTAAAGAAAACTGTACAGATGCCCCTCTCTCTCTCTTGTATTTTTTTAGAGTATTACAACAATATATTTTAAATATAAAATTTTCTCTGAAAATTTTTTTTATTTTTTTTTTATTTCATATTTTTTAAGTAGATATAATAAATAATTTTTCTATTTTATAATGTATAAATAATTTTAAAAATTTAATTCAGATTATAAAATAACGTATTTTCTAATTTAAATATTCTTATAGCAACAATGCTGTACATCTTATATTTCAAATATTATTTTGATTACGTGTAATTTGCATCAATAAATTATTTTAGGAAGCTCAATAATAGATATGATATATAGTTATAGAGAGAGCCACAGAACATTTTAATAGTTACATCAAGTGCACCGGTAGCATAAATATTGTTAAGTACATGAGTCAAATTTAAAACATTTATTTCCATTTGCTCTTTAAATAAATAGCTATATATAAATGTATCGTATAAATTCGACAGAGACGTGAAAATAGACAAATTGATCAAATTTTAAACATAGGCAAAATTTAATTAAAAGTGATACGTGAACTTGATTGTTCGAAAAATAATGAACAAAATTAATTTGTTATCAGTTGCTAAAATTAATCTAACTTTTTATCATTTATCATAAGATAAGCGTTAAATTTGTAAATTTATATATTTTATTAAATTCATTATTAACAAAATAATTTCAATTCTAGCATGAATATATAGTAATATATATATATATAATTTTATTTTTATTGTCAAAAAATTTTTTTATATTTCTAAATTATAAATATATAAACGCAATCTAATTTTTTATTATATTCCTAAAAATAACAGTCATCATTATTTTCCGAACAATGTAACATAAACAAAAAATAAACTCACATTGCGTTGAGTCGATTATCTGAACCTCTCTGCTTTAATATATCCGCTTTAATGTTCCACTGCTGCTCTGCTATAATTCCATATGGTTTGGCACTGATCACTGCACTGGTTTTTCTATTATTTTATATTTGCAATAATTATTTATTGCACTTCACTACACATAGATGCACTTTGAAATAAACGGACAATACGAAAAAATGAGATCACTCGTGAATGAATTTCGTGACATCGCGAAGTGAGCGGAAAGTGTCATGGCGGAGAGACACTTTGCGCGACATCCCCATTCAGCGACACTCGGCATATAATTTTAATTCGCCGTATTTCTATTATGTAAATAATTGAAATTGTATACATAATAGAAATTCGGCCAGTTATAAATATTATGTACATAATAGAAATTCAGCAAATTAAAATTATGCATATAATAGTAATTCGGTGAATCGAAATTATATACATAATAGAAATTCGATGACATAAACATAAAATTATATATGTATACACAATAGAAACTCAGCAAATTAAAATAATATTAAGTTTAACTAAAATTAAATTCACTCAGTTAACATGTCTTTTAAAGAAAGGATTAGAGATTTAATTTTGTTGCTTAAATCAGATAGAACATTAATTTTTTACGTATGTGTATGTGTGTGCGAACTTTAATTCGATGTAAAAATGATCTAGATGCTTATATAACATCCGTTTATGATATTTGCTTAATTGTTTTAACTTCCGATAAACATTGTCGAATAGCATCAAAACCCAACACAATGATCTATAATAAATTTAGAGATTTAATAATCGATATTAAATAACAACTAACGTAAAGATATGATTTATTTGTTACCTTTAGCGTGCCAATTTGTTTATTTCGATCATCTTTGATCGGCAGTATCATATCTCTGTTGCCATCGCCAAGTGCGTATTTTTTTATATTAAAAATTGCATAACTAAAAAAATATTAATTATCAAATATTAAAAATTATAAATTTATTTTACGCATATATCATTAGATTAAAAATTATTTGTCATACTCAGAGAGAGAATGAGTGAAAATATTTTTAAATATATACCGTTTTCATAATGATGCTATATAAAGATACTATAAAATAAAATATTAATAATAAATCGCAGTACTCACCCGACTTCTTCGCATTCTTTAACTTGGTTTTCTTCGGGTAATGGTTCGCTAATGATAATAAATTTAACATTTGGACTTATAGATTCGGCCAACATTGAGCGTAAAATATTTCTTTCTATAGAGTGTGTCTTTTCGTCTATTCGAAATTCTAAAATCATAATATTAATTCTATTATTCCTGCGATTAAAAAACATTTGTTTTTGTAATATATATTAAATAAACAATAGATTTACGTTTCTTAAAATTATAAAACATTTCTTGTTTAGCTGTTTTTGGCTTTATCACGGAAGTTGTTTCCATATCTTCGCCGCGATGTTTAAGGAAAGAATATTCCACATAAAGCAATTGTATCTCATTATCCTGCATGATAGAGCTATCACTCAGAAGTTGCATGCTCGCTATTTCTATGATTATCGTATCCTTTTCGAGATGCTGAAAAAGGCAAAAATAAAAAGTCAAAAATAATAATTACGCTACGCACAATGTTACATATATTTGGAAATTGATATATTTTTAAATATACCCTTCTTTATAATTAGAAGTGTGCTCTAGTATATTAACTTTATTAAATTCATTAAAAATCATAAAGACATGTAAAGACATTGTAAAAAATGTAACGATTGATACTGATAATCTCAGTGTAAAATTTATGTAATTTAATATAAATAAATAATTAAATATTAAATTTAAAAAATTATATTACATCTTAGATTGAATTTTATTAAGTAATCAGATAGTAAAATATATTCGGTAATTTTCTCATAAGATGCTGAATAGGTTTATGTTTTTTTTTTTCGTGATTTATATAGTATCCTTCTCGCGAAATATCTTAAGTTAAACTGAGCAAATATATAAACTAAGGAACAGTCTCGTACACTAATAGAAGTGTCATGCTGGTAATCTTGCACGTCCACGTTTAATGACTTATCTCCTGCAAATATTTTTGGACGACTAGTTGAGTAAACGCTATTTTTATCGGCATATGAATGCGAAGAAAGACATAATTAATTACTAATTATGCTGGCAAAAGTCAGCAGGCTCTTCTGCTTATACCTCTCCCAGTTTTTGTCCGAGAGAACGTCGTTCATGTCGCGGGTCACGCTATTTGTTCCTTTGAGCATCGAAATGTCCTGAATACGAGCGGAATCTCGATAGAGCGTTTCCGCTATCTTTTAATACAATCGCAAAAGCTTTTAATAAGATTGCATAACGTATCTTACATTCTCGATTAAACTCCTAAACTCCTTCATACTCGATGAATCCTTCGGATCGTTGTTTCTCTGCTTCTCGACACTATCCCTGAGTGCTTCGGAATCTGAACTAATTAAAGGTATTTATACAATTATTGTTTATTATATAATATTTTGCAATATGTAAAAAAAGATAAGTTGGTACAAAATTCTATTTTTTTTGTAAAATTTCCTCTCGTCATATCATTATATTTTGCAAAAAGATGACAAATTAGAATAATGAGATAAAAAAATAGAATAAGATAAACAGAAGAATGAAAGAATAAAAAATCTTACTATTTTGCTATAATCCCTCTATTCTCTGCGGGTCTTCGGTCATCGCGATGCAAAGTGAAATTTTCATTATTCGAATTCTCGTTTTCCTCTTCCGAGTTTTCATATTCAAAATCTGCGATTTTATAATGATCGCAATTTCTCACACAGTTAAATTTTAATAAAATATACAAATCTTAATAATGCAATTACAAAATTACTTATGTCTAATGGCGATCGGATATGAAGATCCTTTGAATTTACGTGTATCGTTTCGCTATCTCTTACAACTTTTACATCTTGATCCTTCGGAGGTGTCTCTTCAAACGTCATCATCGGTAGTTCAGGCACCTCGACCGAAGGTTGTGGAACAAACATTTTCTTCGGCACGTCATTCGTGGCCTTCCTAATCGAAGGCACATGCTGAAGATCGTCTCGCAGAGATGTTATGCCACACTGCTTCTTAAAGGCTTCGACCATGTCGACGTTGCAGCTTAATCGGACCCAGAGCGATAGCTGGCCGCAATTGACGCCGAAAAAGCAGGAAATAACGCTATTCACGGGAACAATGTAGTGTAACTTGTTCTGTGGATAATCCAAGATATCCCTGATGGAGACTTTCGCTCGGGCGAGCGTGGAGCTGGTATCGTTTTGACGAACGATATTCACTCGAAAGACCAGGTACTCCGACAGGACGTTCTTGAAGAAAGAAGTGAGATCCGCTATGCGATACACGGAGGACGAGTTGAAGATCAAATTGGGGCACTTCATTTTCGGCGTGTAAGCGGTCTTCTCACCCCAAATGTCCCAGCTTATGTAAATATGAAGATTACATATGTCTTCTTCTTCTGAAATTTTTGCGACCTGACGATTTCAAAATGCGAATAAAATAAAATTATTTTCTTTGTTCAAAATTAAATAATAGACTTTGTTACATATAAAATATACATATTTTCTCTATAAAATATACATATTTCTCTAAAAAAATGTTTCATTTTTTACCACGCACAATATTTTCTAATCTCTAACAATAAATTAATAATTATGTAATTTACATGCTACATTAATTTCATTGTTTTTATGTAAGAAATAGAGTAATCAACAAAATCGAAATATATGAACATAAATCTGATAGTACAACATTAAAAAATAGTCCATTATTTTATTTAGTTTATACATATAAAGTTTCTTGTTAAACTTTTTTACTCGCGATACTAACCGATGTAGAAAGTTGTAGTCGTGAAATATGAATCTCAATGAGACCTTGTCTATCGGTAATTAGTAGAGGAAAGCACTCCGTTGGACGCGCTGATAATTTCATATTGTCATTTAGACATTCGAGTCTACAGGGTAATTTCTGCTTCTCCTCCAATGGACCCTTCGCTTCGCGAAAGTGGCACGTTAGATTACATCTAGGGTAGTGTGGTGACTTGAATTTCTTTCCAGTCTTTTCTGCCTAAACGAAAACCATTGACGCGTTATGTTATTTATTAAAATTTAACATTTTATCGGAAAAACACTTTGCAAATGGCTTACGTAAAAGTCTTTACTAATGTCGCGATACGATGATTTCCTGCAGCTCTCGTGAATTTTAGGAAAGAGACTACTAACATCAAGCAGGTCTCTCATCGATGAAGCGGTATCTCTCATTAAGATGGTTGTAGACTTCTTTTCGCACGCGAGATTTCTGCAATCCTTAGTGTCAAGGGCGGTTAATTGAGGAGCGCAGCTCGCACAACGATGATCGGATTCTAAATTTCGCGAACAGTTTTTCATCACTCGTCTTTATTCGTTTTCGAATATATTTGTCAATGCATACGATACAATCTCTGTCGATCGTTCTTATGCAATTATCATTACCGAGATTTTCCGCTGCGTCTGCGCTAAGACAGCTTTGCTTAATATCACGTGCAGTTATCACAGAAAGATTATTGTTGTTAACGTCAATCAGCGGATTCTTGGTTGCAGAAACTTGATGGCTCGAAAATGTTTTTTCATCAGTATTACTAACTGATATGTACTCTTGCAAAATATCGAATAGAATCGTAAACATTTGATTTAATGTTACATTCGGATTCTCCACGAGTTCTTTTCGTGAGTTTTCAGGAATTGATTCGTCACGAAGCAATCGAGAAGATATTTCTCCATCGCTGTAATAAATATTTATAATATCGTGTAGAGAGAGAATAATGTTCCAATCTTTTAGCATATATATATATATATATATATATATATATATATATGTGTGTGTAGAGAGAAGGAAAGGGTATAATATGGTATATATAGTATAATATAGAATATTATAAACATACATAAAAATATTATATATTTAATAATGTAAAAAAGTAATTGTGACATAATATGAGAATATATATCACATAAAGGATATATATCACATAAAATGCTATTACAATCACATATTTATTTATAAATTGAACGTATAAAATGTCCGATATATGTCTTCAAAATATTAAGAAACTGCTTTATAGTTCTTTGAACACATAAGGTTTTCTACACAAATTACTGATTTCTGTATAATCTACAGTACAATAAATACCAAATATAAAATGTTAATTATAATTATTAAATCAAAGATATATGTAGAGAAAATATAAAAAATAATGTACTTATAACACTACATAACACATACAAGCACTAACACAATATCGAACATTTAATTAATCTTCTTAATTAGATATTTGTGCTGTATAGCAATAAATATCATATTTTTTGCTTATACTTCAATTTATAAAATACATATTTCTTATTTGAGAGTACAAAAAAGTCCTACCTTAGAATTTTATAGTTTTAACTAAAGATAATTAGATTACATATTCTATATTTCTATACTAAATAGTATTTCTATACTAATACTTATTTATTTAAATTTAAATAAGATATCTAATATTTTAATATCGATACTACATATCATAAATACTATACATTTGAAATTGCGAAATTTGATCATCATAAAATAAAAAGCTAATAATATAATACTAAACGATAAAGTCTCTGTCAACAATTAGAATCACCGAACAATAGCTTCTCGAGAGGTACGACTTGCCTGTGCCTCTGAGCTACATCCAAAATACCCGTATATTCTTCCTTTTGAGTAATCCTCGACGCGTCCAAAGGTGTGTTAATCTGTGCCTGGTCCAACAGTTTTAATATTTTTTCGCGAGATAAAACATTCGTGCCATTTGTTTCCTGAGTCTTCCATTCTTTCAATGGCGACTGCAACGATGTCTTCTCCTCACTTCTCATTGTACTCTGTTCTTTTATGCTGGCAGTAATGATTATTGTCTGCACTGATTTATCCGCCAATTGCAAACTTTCTCGCGTATTGCTGACAGTTTTGTCCAGATGCATCATTTTATCATACATCTCACAACATTTCATGCATTGTTTTACGTCCGTCGATAGTGTCATTTTTGAAGCGATAGCGTCGCACTTTCCGTTTTCCTTGTGAAAAGACTATAAGTATAACAAAATTCGAAATTATTAAAGTACTACATACAGTTTCTAAATTCTAAAATATATATTTACAAATATACTAACCGCTACTTGCACCGTCAAAATATCTATGTTTGTCTGCAATTCTTGAAGTTTCGCGAGCAATCGCTCATTTGTAGCCCTCAATGTTACAATACTAGACTGCTCGTCGTTACTGAATGTAGTTTTCAAAGTTTGTTGATCTTGAGTATTTTCAGAAAGTTTTTTTTTAATTCTATATTTTCAAATTCGACTTGGCCGTATTTCGAAGTAAGCGCGATAAGCTCGTTATTATGTTGTTGTAATATCTTAATTTCGTTCATAAAATCTCGTATCTGTTCATCCTTTTCGCGTAACGTAAGTTCTGAATTCTTCTTATTTAACATCTGATGATCGATTTCGGCTATGCGCGTCCTCTCTGACGTAAGAATGGCCGCAATCTCCTGATTATTTCTAAAAAATCATAAATTTTTATTAGAAACTATCTACACTCTTGACAAAAACATTTTTATTATAATATTTAATTTTTAGGAATACATATATGTATATTTAAAATTTATCTGAAGCATAATTTATAATATTTGATCCATTTCATATTAAAATTAAAATTAGCAATACGTTATATACTTATTATATATGTTATATATTTGAGAGAGAACTAATGAATATATACTTCGTCGTTTGTTCAAGAGTCGTTTTCAAGTCGGTAATTTCAGCAGTCAACGCGGCGTTTTTCTCTTGGGCCGTCATTAATTTATCATTCAGCTGCTTCATCTGTCGCCAGACTCGTATATATTCCACATTCTCCGCTACCTTTTCCCTTTGATTATTAGTCGAAAGTGCCAGCTCTTTCTCCAACTCTGTTATACGGCATGCCATATCTTTCTTCTGCGCCTCCAATTTCTACGAAGAAATTGTGAACGCTAGGCGGAAATTATGACGCATATAACACATTAATAACGAGCAACTTTGCGTATTCGCGAGACTCTAATCATCTGGATATAAACGCAAAGTAATTTATATGCGGATAATATTTAACACTTTGCTATTTTCGATTATCTATTATTTTGTATAAATATTTGTTTCATATAATATAATTGCTAAATGAGATAAATGTACGCAAAAAATTAAATGTGCGCAAATTTCTCAAATTGTCGAATGCTGTTTTACCTCGATTTTAACGAGGTAATTTCGCATGTCGTTATCGTCATCCCCTGCTCCAACGATGCATTGACAGGACGGTACTCTTGTGCGATTATTCTCACTTCGGCACGTCCTAAAAGACGTCGGTTCAGTGTTTCACTATGTCGCATGAGTCATAGCATATACATATATCTCATATATGTGTGTACTTACACGAATCCGGAAGACGATGGCCTAACGAGATTACGACTGCGCGATGATGATCTACCGCTCATCGTGTGACTCAACAACTGATTTCTCATCACAGCGATTTTCTCCTTCAACTGAAATATTTAACAGAACGTTTAAAAATATAATTTTAGCATGTAAAAAATATTAAATTTTATATAATGTGAATAAAAATACGCTGTAATATTTGTAGTACTACAGAAAATTTAAAAATTCATATCTTCATTTTATACCTTCAGTTATATTAATTTTGTTAAAAAATATAATATTTTTAAATTACTTAAATTATTTAGAATTTTACAATTGAGAATTATTATAGAGAAGTATTAGAAAACTTCATTAGAATATATTACACAGAAATAACATGACGAAATGGGAGATATCAAGACGAAATTCTCCCGGACGGAAGAATGTCATTATCATATCACTTGTGTAAAAGATTTGTTGGGTCACCTTGGTATTTTCGAGCTCGAGCGCAGCCGTTTTATTTTTATCGTCGGCAATATCTAATGCGAATCCACACGATCTTGGATTACCAGCCAGTCTTATCAGCTTTGTACCGAGCCGCTTAATCTTGTCCTCCTGACAATTCGATAATTTCTTCAGATTGCTTGCCTCATCCAGTAAACGTAAATACTTGTCCTCTAGTTGATAGCGGTCGAGCTTGCAAACGAGATGACGTTCCCTAGGATCTTTCACATTTTAAAATTACTCATACATACATTTACATATTATTTGGCAAAAGTAAAACAAAAATTAAATATAGAGTATAAAATAATATTGTACACTGAAAAAAAAATTTATTGAATTCAAATAAGTATTTATTTCAATATTGCCAAATAAATTATTTATTTGAAACTAGTAATATTGATTTAATATGAAAAATATTTATTTGATATAAGAAAATCTTTTTTAAAACATATAAAATATTTATTTATTTCAAACAAATCATTTATTTAGGAATATTCAAATAAATATTTATTAACTTAGTCATTTTTTTCAGTGTATAAAATAAAAATATATTATAATATTTTATATAAAATATTTGTATCTTGTGTGAAGCAAAAAAATATAAATTAGAAAAAGAAAACAGATTATTTAAGCCAGATGATGTAATAAACGTAAAAATGTGTGTATCAAAAATACATACCTATTCCACACACACTAATAATTGTGTCGGCGTAAGAGCCTTCTTTTACGGGCAAAATGTCACGATTTGGATCGTCTACCATTTTCAATCAGAATTCCGATACATGTGATACTTAGAACTGATAAATATTTAAAACGTTGATTAGCACATATGAACGCTGAAACAAGAATACAGTATTAATATTACTTTGTTCATAAAATGAATCGTCAAGCATATATATAGAAAAAAGGTTATAATTTGGAGAAATATATAACGCGAAATTAAATTGTCATTCTTTCTTGATAATCTGCATTATATTTTTATATATATCATATCTATTTCTCTTTCTCTCTTTCTCTCTCTCTCTCGTAGATTATTTTTCTTACCAAAACGATGACGATTTTTTTAAACATTGTATTTATTTGCACGCAAAATAATTAAACATATTTTATCGATTTTAATCTATTCATGATTCGTGAATAAAAGAATTCGAGTAATCGATTTTGCGATTCTACGCTAATTTCACAGTTTATATTATCCTCGATAGTATTTCTCGATACATAATTCTCGATCTCTCGATATTATTATTTCGAGTATTTCAAAGTGATAAACGTATTATATTATTAAATAAAGGCTCTTATTAATATTTCTTATTATTTTAAATAAAAGTACATACATTTTTTCTATCTCTTTCGATAAATTTCAAATAAAATATATGTATCGCGAGTAGTAAATATAACGTAATTAAATAATCTTCGAAATATTAATAAAAATATATATATAAATATTAATATTAATAGAATATTTAATAAATAGAAAAAGTAATTAACTAAATATATATATATATATATATATTATTCATTTGTGCAATTAAATAATAATGTATTTCTATGCACTCTCTATTATATTTGAGAATTATACTGTGAATTATAATACACAGGATGAAGTATGTAAAGTGACAATAATTATCGCTGATTATCGCAGGCTGCCAGATTCGAGATTAAAACTACACACACACACATGCATAACATACATACATTCATACATATGCTATCCAGAACCGTGTTCTATATATCATGTATTCTCCTAAATATAAAGAACTTTTCTGAGAGCAAATAATGATTCATCCTCACTCGATCTCCACCCTGCTATGAGTCATATAGAGCTTTAAAAGTAGAAAAACATTGCAAAATAATGGAACAAATTGAACATTCTAATTTTTTGAGAACAATAATTTTGAAAATGTGTATAGTTTCCAGGAAAATATATATATATAAATATATATATATGCATAGAAATTAAAAATGTTTCAAATTTAATATATAAGGATCTGCGTTAAAATAAATATAAAAACAATATTGTAAAATCAGTTCAATGTGATATTTTTTATGCGCCCTCGATAAATCATATATTTTAACAAAAATTACAATATTCGAAGTTTCCCTATCACCGATCCGTAAAATTATTTGCGCACCCTTTCTCCGAACAACTCGAGTGCGTATAATCACGGATGTTACGCAAGAATAATCAAACCAGAAAATAAAAAAGAGAAAAATGAATAAAAATTGTGCACACACATATATTCATTATACGGAGTATATAAATAATTAACAAAATGAAGAGAAAGAAATATTCGATTTTAAAATTAATAATTAAATGTACTCATCAAGAGACGCATTACTTGCGGATAATATGCATCATCTCCAATTATATATACATATATACAGTATCATTAAAAGTTTTTCGAAAGCATATATAATTACCATCATTATGACTAATAATACAGCAGATGGACGAAGGGAAAGCAAAGCGGCCGCGAGAATATGAGAAGAAAAGTTCGATGTGTATAGAAACTGTTGAGATGCTTCGGGGGAAGGAACTCGGAAGGAGAAAAAAAAAAGGAGAAAGAGAGAGAAAGATGCTACGACGAGAGTCGGTCGCATCACCAGGTATAATACACATACATATACTCGCGGCACCGCGAGACGGAGACGCCGAGCCTAAGAAGGAGAGAAAGAGAGAGAGAGCGCGACCAAGCACAACCTGACCTGTCCGTGACCACCGCATCGTACCCTCGCTTTTGACATCGGCGGCGGTGGCGGCGGAGTGTGCGTGCCAGTGGGAAAGGTAAGATGGCGGCGGACGGAGATGCGGCGATTCCGGACCAGGAAAAAGTGCGAATAGTCTCGGATTTTATATTGCACTCGCCGCCGGGGGAGTTCAACGAGGTGTTCAACGACGTGAGGGTTCTGCTCAACAATGACAACCTGTTGAAGGAGGGCGCGTCCGGGGCCTTCGCGCAGTACAACAAGGACCAGCTCACGCCTGTTAAGGTACCGTAGTCATCATCGTCGTCATCATCTTCGTCGTCGTCGTCATTGTTGTCATCGTCGTCGTCGTCGTTATTGTCACTCATCCGCGACCTTCCGCCTTCTCTCGGAGCACAGGATCACTTCGCGCCCTAGGCTCGCGTATCCTCGATTATTCGCCCTCCTTTCTTTCAACTGTACCGATCACGATGATTCTACACGTTCTCTCGTCTTCGGGCCCACCGGGATTTGTTCGAGTGACCTTGGTCTTGGCTCGAGGCTACCGATTATACCGGTATCTCCCCTGCAGTTTTCGCGCTTCGCCGACTCGAATATTTGACGTTTTTTTTTCTCTATGCGAAATTATAAAAATCCCACATTCGCGAGATGATGGAAAATTATGGTAATCATTGAAGCAAATAGCAATATTTCTCAATGCACGAACAAAATTGTTTTCCATCGTCTTTTCTTGATTACAATAAAGTACTACTTCAATACATTTTGTTAATCAATTAGTTAGTATTGCCTGCCCAGAAGCAATGTTGCAATATTTTTTATTTTTACTGTAAATAATTTGTTTCGCAATATTAAGAATACTAAGATTCTATCTTATATTCTCTGCCTACATTTCCTATATCAAGTCATAAATGTGTGCAAAACTTTTAATGCGTTGCATAGTACGTATAAAGACAAATAAATATTACAATTTTGTTCTTTTCTCCGATACAGATAGAGGGAAGTGATCATCCGGCATTGATAACGGAACACAATGACTTGGGTTCTCAAAGGTTTTATGATGCACGGAGTAAGCAAAGTTTCAAATACGATCACTTAAGGAAGGAGGCACAAGATTATGAATCTTACGAACCAGATCCTATAGCGGAGCCTTGGAGGTCAGCCTTTCAAGATGAGATAACGAATTATACTCAAAGTCATTATAGACATGGCGCCTGCTCAGTTTTTGGAAAATCTGCTGGAGGTAATTATTATTTTGTTCGAATAGTAATTGCTCCAACAAATGGTGCACAAGAAGTAACTTAATGAATTTTTATACAGGAAACGTAACGCTAACGGCGTGCATAGAAGATCATCAGTTTCAACCTAAAAACTTCTGGAACGGTCGCTGGCGTTCGTTATGGACCGTAAGTTTTACTCCAAATTCAGGAAACGCCGAATTGAGAGGTAGCCTCAAAGTACAAGTACATTATTACGAAGATGGAAATGTACAATTGGTCAGTAGTAAAGAGGTAAAGGAGAGCCTGCCCATCTCCAACGAGAAGCAAACGGCGAAAGATTTGATACGGTTTGTCGAAGAATCCGAGAATGATTACCAAACGGCAATTTCCGAAAACTATCAAACGATGTCCGACACCACCTTTAAGGCACTGCGAAGACAACTGCCGGTAATGCGAACGAAAATCGACTGGAATAAAATTGTGTCGTACAGTATTGGCAAAGAGCTTAAAAGTCAATAGAAATAGATTTTTTTATATAATAATATTAAAAGAAATAATTAAAAAAAAGGAGAAGAAAAGCGCATTTTGCTGCATGAGTGAAGTCTGGACGTGTGATGTGCATGGGAGCAAACTATAACACTACTAAGTAATGTCTGATTAGAGAGATATTTCAACTCATGCATGCCACTCAGGTTCCTCTCGACTCCATATTGTACGTTACAAGAAGCAATAAAAAAGGAGAGATTAGCATTTTGTACCGTTGTCAATTATGTAAAAGAAATGATATAAAATTATAATTTCTCTAAATTTGTATACACCATTTTGGCATGGAATAATGTAATATTGAATGATTTGGTATATCATTTCTATAATTATGCTGATTGTAAAATATAGAATCGGTATTCAACGGTGGAACCTTTGTATAAATGTTTCTTTACTTTAATTTCAATCATTCAATCTTTTTTAAAATATATCCATGATATTCGCATTATGCAGCATAGCGCAAGATATAATCTTTAACTTCGGATGGACATAAAAGCGATTAACTGTCGAAGTAAAAGATATATTTACTATTTATAATGGGGTAATGGGAATCCTTGCTCTTATGTTAAGTGATCGAACTGAAGTTGAATTCAATGTGTTGAATAGCTTGAAATTTGTGAGACACAAAATAGCGAAAATAAATTTAAGCTATAATTATATAGTTGTGAAGTAATGAGCAGATGGATGCAATTTTTCAACTTTGACATAAAACTTGTAAATTCCTGCAAATATTTTATCAAAAATATAATAACATCAGTGATATTTCTTTGATCATGTTCATTTACTTATATATATATATACATATACATATACATATATATATATATATATATATATATATATATATATATATATATATATAAATATTCGTTTTCTCTGTAGGAATTTATTATACAAATAAATTGATATACAATATTATATATTCACTGATGCTATTATTTTATTGATAATCTTATCACTACAATTACATCAATCTGTTCTAGCACAATTTATCTATCACTTGGCAGTTCACCCTGACTCAAAGCAAAGTAATTTCAATCATCTTAGCATTGAATTTGCAATGCATTCTACAATCAAATACTAAAATTTGCATAATTAATTATTTACATTTTTATGAACATAATTATGAATCGCGAAAAGTCTGTACAATAAATACTTGATATATAAGAAATAAGTTTTCTTACAGATGTGCTGATGTGCAAATAAAATAGCGAAATTAATAGTTAATTAATGTCAGGTATAAGGAAAATATCTCTTTAAACTCATTTAAAAAAAAGGAAGACAAATCGCTTGTAATGCTTAAGACTTAGATCACTTAAAGCGGCGCGATGACACATCTTGTATATTTGAAAATTTGGGTAAAAGAATTATATGTATACATTTGAATCATTAAGTTATTTGTTGATACAATATGCTGGGGCCATGGGTGATGTCAACCGCATAATATATCAAACGTAATACAAAGACATTAGATGTGTCTATTTATAATTTGCCGGTACGGAACACACCGTTAAGTGTTCATTACCGCATTTAATACACATAAAGTACGAAAAACAAGGAAACATAACTCTTAACAGATATTGGTGGGCAAGGCCTACTATTTTTATCCAACTTTATATTTCACATAAAAGTATAAGTCTATATACATTTTTGTTAAAATGTATATTGTTTTATAATAAGTATGTCTATTATATATAATGGATACGTTACAAAGTTTAAATATGAACTACTGAATGAAATAAATGTTGATCATTGCGCAATTTGGTTTCTAAATCATATTTAAAGTGTGTATCAACCCCGTCGCGAAAGAATCATTCGAATTTAAAAGCAGAAGCGGGAAGTCTCTTGGTGCTATCGCTTACTACACATTACACAACCAGACATTGTATGCGAAAACAGAAACTAACAAAGTACATAATACATTGTACATTGTAGAATGTAGCCTATAGCCTGCTGGAGCCTTAATCTGTTCATTTTATGTTGGGAGAATGGGGTTTGGGGTTAATGAAGATTGGGTCTTGGGGGAATACTATGTACATATGTTATTTGGATGAATGAATGCGACCACCATCATTTGACTCTTAATGCAATAGGATTCGAAACAATGTGTGTAATATTATTTGTACTTTGTAAGTTACATCGTAATTCAATGTATTATCTTTACTGCAGCTGCAGTGCAATTCTTGAGAAAGAAAACGAAAGCGATTCTTGCCATTGATACTGAAGGATTCAGTCAAACAAGAGTACGGATAAAATATGATATAAAATTATTTGTTAACATGCAAGGCGCGCGCAATAACAAAGTTACTCATGTAAATACAATTTCACATATGCTATTCAAGTATCATTGTTTGTATTACGTATGTAAATTACAAAATGGAGCGCGTTGAGGTGTGTTTCGAATCTTGTCAAAACTCCATACGACATAGTTGCCTACGATATTGAAAACTAGGTATTACCTACAATCGAGTGTATCGTAACATAACAAAACGCATGTCCTTATGTAAAAATTTAAACACAGAATACATTTATCAGTTAAATTATGTATTATTGAATGTTATGATTGATTAAATAAAGTGATGACACTTTATACTTGGACTTTTAAGTATGAAAACCATTCTTTCACATAAAATATGATTTGCATTAATTTTTGTACATGGATATATGTGTCACTTTCCATATTTTCAGATGAGATATTTAAAATTGATTATTCAATGTACTTTATATATTCAATGTATTTTATATGTAATAATTATATTTATTACTCCCTCTCTGACTTTATTAAACTGTTTAGATTCTTGTCCACATCGAAATTATATTAATAAAATGTATAAAAAATATATTTTAAAAGAATTCTGGAGAAAAGTTTGGGGAAAATCTTTTTATATAACTTTTTTGTATGATTTCTATAATTTCTAACGAGCAATATGTAATTATAGGAATAATTTTAAATTAATCTGTTATAATGGCTAGAGTGCTAGAGAGAGAGAGAGAGATATGATGAATTTGAATAGATTAAATTCACATATGACAGAAGTAGAAATTAAACATTTTTAATTAATGTAATTGCTTCTCTAAAACAGTTTATTTTACAATATATAGATGAATAAGATCTCTTTGTTATTGTTATTATACGTGCGTGTTGTTTTCATGTATGCAGATCTACTTGATAAACAAACGTACTACTGTGAGATATGTGACATCACACATACAAAATCGTGTCAAAATTTAAAGATCTGCGAAGAAACGGAAAACGTACCTTGAACGAATTATGCTAGACATTTATTTTACTCAATGTAAGATGCAAAAGTTAAAAATAACAGGCACATGACTGCACGATGAAGCATCACAAAGCCGCCTTAAAGGTAAGGGTCGACAGGAGAATTGAGAATCAGGCGACTTCGAAATCGACGTTAGAGACCTCGCGCGGTGACAATGCGAAACTTTTTTCAGAATTACCAACGCGGTAAAATAAATTCTCTATTTTTAATTTTTCTATTTTTTTTGCAGAAATGCATCGCTTTTCGTTGATCTTTCATGGTAGAAAGTATTTTTAAAAAGGACAAATAATCGCGCAATTAATGTGAATGATAATCATTTAAAACAATATTTTTTATATATACAATAAATCTTAAATCAATTTTATATCAATTTAAATTATTTTTTTAAATTGAAAGCCGTATAAGTCCGTGATGACGTGATCATAAATATAATTTAGAAGCGTACTTTAAGAAAAGAAGCTGAATATTTTTTTGCTCAGTCGCGTATGATTGTTTCATTAATTTATAAATATATTTATTAAAATATTTTTACATACACATGTAGATGACTGCGACACACATATTCTTGATAAGAAAACGATTTTTCGCAAATATCTTCAGAGAGAGAAAGAGAGAGAGCGGTGCTTTTTCTCTCTCGCTTCGTCATGATGCGTAGTGGAGAACGGTGGTGGGAAGAATGAAATGCGCAGCTGCTCCCCACTCCGCGCCCGTCACGTGACTCGTGACGCACTGCATTCCAGCGCCGCCTGGAAGTCAAAGTCGATTCAAAGTCGTACGTGTCAAGACGCGCTCTCTCTCTCTCTCTCGCCAGGATAATTAAGTGTATGAAAGATTCTTTAATTAAAGCAGTATTGTGTGGTGACATCAAATCCATTGAAGCAAGCGAAACGCAATTATAAAGCACGACGCGAATATACTTTGATCAAAACAATATTACAACTCGTAAGCAAGAGACATATATATGACAGTGTTTCGCTCCTAGCCTCGCCTGCAGTGACGAGACATCCCGTGTTATATTTTAATTGTATGTATGATGATCCTATTGCTATATTACATTTCTTTCCAAAGAAAATACATCAATTGTTTATACATATATGTGCGCATAATGCACCTTCGCAAAATAAATTTTCAATACCGATGTCACAAACTTTGCACACACATCTTATTTTTTCGTGAGTTTTGTTTCCAATTCGCCTTTATCGAAATTTAAATGCACGCGTGATTTAAATACGCATTGAAATATAGAAAGCAAAATTTACATGATAACATTTGAAAGCCATTTTATATAAAAAAAATATGTAGTATTCTAAAGACAATTTCTTCTCAATTTCTATATTTGTTAGATTTCAAATAAATATATAATTTTATTATATAGATGCACTTGCACTGGTGCACCTGAATATTTAGACATTTGTGCATATTTTGTATATCTGAGATAAATTAGATAAATATAATTAAAAGAATGAAATGTATTATATGATAAAAGATAAAAATGATAGAGCAAGCTGCAGAGTTATATTAAATTAATTGATAGAAAAATAGATTCGATATCTCTTCGATCAAACAATCATGATGCATGAATATACCTAGGCACTATAGATGCGTTCATTTTAGAAATGCCTAAAGGCAGGCTTTATGCATGGAATTTGAACTTTAAAAAAAACTGGTATTAATGAAACAATGATATATAAAAAAATGTATGAAAAATGTAAAAAGGCAGTTTGTTTCAACTTCAAAAGTTATTTTAACTTCCTTTTGAGTCTAGCATATGCAAATTAAACAAAATAGTAAAACATATTATGTATACGGATATTGATATTTAAATTTGTCATATTTAAATATCATTTTTTAGAGCATTTTGCAAATAAATGAGATAATCTATTCGAGAACTGTTTCGAATAATAGCAATTCACGCAGTTCAATCAATATGCAATTAAAATAAAAAATTGTTACATTTTTTATTATCATTCTACAAGTTATTTTTTGCATATACTATACTATGTAATAAAAACATATTTTATCAACAATTATATATAATTATATATAATATAAAATTTTATATAATTTTTGATAAAATATTTAATATAAATTAAAAAAAAATTTTTAGTATTTTATTTTCTCACTATTCCACAGTATAAGTTATACTGTGACTATTCCTTGCATATCTTTAAAATTATTGTATCACAGTTACATGTATATATATGTATGTATAGAATAATGCAGAATAAAATATGTGTCAATGCTTAATTTGCATTTTGTAATCCCATTGATTAACTCAGGATTATTTCACAATTTGTCAAAGAAGATAAGATTGTATTGGCTTTCCTGGAACAATAAATTTACTCTTGACAAATTGTTGCGATAATTTTAACTTTTAAGTCTGTCATATTTAACTAGTTAAATGCACTGTTATGTACAATTACAGCTTCTTTTTTAAAGCTTTTTCTTCCTGAAGGACAAAGAAAATAATTGTACAAAATGTCTTTTTATTTTTATCATGAAATAAATAATTGCTGTTATATATTGCGAGTTTATAATTTCTTCATATTAAATAGAATTGATATCAATTTTTTTGTGAAATTTATACATTTATACATTATATTTACCTTTATATTTGTACTTGAGAAAAAAAGAATTTATTCTTTTGCAGAAATAAAAATAAAAGGACATTTTATTATATAATAAATGAGTGAAGAGAAAGAATAATTAAACAGAATATATAGCATATATTATTTACAGTGTACTATGTATCTGTCAATTTATGTTCTAGCTACTTTTGGCATCGAATCAACGTACAAATTATTATTTCATTATCAGAGCAATTAAACATGTGCAGGACTTAAAGTAAAAATTTTTAAAAATTATGTTTAAAATTTTCTGATGTGCATAAACAGTGTAAATACCCAAAGAAATTTTCTGAGAATTAAATTTCACAAATTGTGACAACAAATTGTGATTAATCTTCTAAATCGCGCGATATAATAACTAATATTAACAGTAAACGGGTACTTGAAGAATTTCGGACAAGATTTATCGTCGATCGCTCAGCTCCTTCAATTTATCCAGCAACGAGTTGCCGAAGGAGTTCCTGTACCGCGGACTGATGTAGTCCAGGAGGCTGTAGGGCGTCTCGAAGCGTTCATTATCCAGGTTGGACATGTCGTCGTGTCGATTCCCGACGATGGCGAAACCGGCTGCCGACAGTTCTACGCAGAACCGCAGACCCTCGAGCGTCGTCAGGTTCAGGTAGATGACCTGATTGGTGCTGATCAGCTGTTCGGATACCCTTAGGTCCTGCACATGTTTCTTCACATCGTTGATCACTGCCTGCGCCTCCAGACACCACTGCTTCTCGTCGAGCACTCGATCGTCCATGTCGTCCCGCAGGAGTCGTTCTTTTTGTCCTGAGACACCAGGATCGCAGAGAATCACGATCCTTTCTTATCAATGACGGATCTGAAATTTCATGTCAGATGTCAGAGAAAATCTTGACATTTCCCTCTCTCTTCCCCCCCCCCCCCTCTTTCCTCAATATATATATATATTTATATAATTTTACATATATATAATTTTATATTTGTATTACATAAGTACATAATTATAGATTTACTGACAAAAATATATATATACATATATATATATAATATATTTTTGTCAGTATATAAAATCTATAATTATGTAATTATGTAATACAATATATAAAATTATATATAATGTAAAATTTATTGATAAATATAAATATTCATGTAATTTTTAATTTAAGATTCTAAAATTTTCATTTAAAAGTATCATTTAACTTAAAATAAACGTAAAAATTATTCAATATTATTTAATCTAAAACAGATTATATTTCTCTTATGGATTTCTTAATACGCTATTATTACTCGTTTAAGTGCTTTTCTCTTCGCAAAATATAATCTACTAGATAACACATTAATGCATTATTAATAATACAAAATAGAAACCTGAAATTGCTCCGCAAATTGCACTTTCCACTGAATATATTTCTCTCTTCATGTGAACTATAGCACTTCTTCAAATATTCCCATAATGAACATTGTACAATACTCAAAGTTGTGTCTCGTAACATCATACTCCAAGATCCACAGTACAATAACTTAAGACCAAGTGGTTCCTTGTCATACATCAGTGCCTGTTTTCTTTGCTTTGTGACTTCCACTGGAACTTATATTAAACATACTACCTTTGCATATAAAGTAATTAAAAGATTAGTATACATATAATTAAAAAAATTTTTCTTTTATCCACACACACAACAAATAAATTAATTAATCTTTAAGTACTCACACAATATGTAAATTAAAGAATTAAATAATTATTATAGCATTTTGATTTTAAATATTAAATTGTATAGCTGTATTAGTTTTTTCTTTTCCATCTTTTAATTATTAATATAAAAAAGGATATAATATATAATTATTAAAATAATACCATTTCTCCTAATGTTGCTGCTCTCATGTGAAGTACTGTCACATAGTACTTTGCAGAAATCTTTGGTTATATTCTAGTTTTCATGTAACGTATACTATAGCTTTTTCAGTAAAATTTTCCTTGAAGAGGACGTTTTGGAACACAACCAATGAATTAAAATGTGTATCGAGTTTGTACATCGATTAATCTTTAATTACAATTTACATATGTATCTTATCTCAATGGGTTTGTTGCACTATTGCACTGTTGCAATAAATTATAATAAAATAAATGTGTATATTTTTTTACTCTAATCTATTACACTAATGTAGCAGTGCAGTTAAAATAACGAACAAATCCAGTATCATAAATAGTGCTATAATATATTATTGATCATCTATATAATAATAATAATTTTGCTATTTTATATATAAAATCGTACGCGAAATATATTACTAAAACGTGTCCACATATTTGTATTTATATATTTACTAGGTAACATTATTTCTTCAGTAAAATAATTCTTATTTCGTGCTTTATATTATTTCGCTGTAAAAAAATAAAAATCGAGCGTTGAAAACGGTCAGGAAAGACAGGAGTATGTAATATTTCTTACGAAAGAAAAAAATGAAAAATTATTAATTTATTTAGTAATCATGTTGATATATTAAGAAATACACCGAGATAGCCACAGTAATTATTATGACATCATTTTGATGTCATAATAATTATTATGGCTATCTGGGCAGTTGCCAACATTTAATTTTTTAATTTTTTTTTAATTTTAAGATTTAATATTTTTTTTCAATTTCTATAAGTAAATACTATTTTAAAAAGAATAAGTTTAAATCCTCTCTTAAAAATCATCTCTAAGTTAAATAAAAGAAGTAAAGTTATATTTTTATACTTTTTGATATTTGAAAAAATTAATAAAGGATTTATATTTATATTTAATTAGTTTAAATATTTAAATTTATATAATTAGTTGTATTTAAAGAGAAAAAATATATATTTTATAATTTAAATAAAATTAAAAAAAGGATGAGTTATGCAATTTTTTATAAGTTTTTTTTATTAAATAATACATTTAAATTTATAAAATCAAATATGTAATATATATATGTATATAGCAAAATATACATATATTTATATATTTTACTTTATTACATTTTTTTATCATATGCATAAAAAGAGGTAATGATAAATTGATAAGAATATAATAAGCTACCACGTGACGTTGCAGGTTGCAAATGATGCAAGACGATGGTAGTGTCATCTGTCATATGCACCGGTACTATCGTCGCGCTATATGCGATTATATCTGATTATAGCCACCCTATTCGCCCCGTTGTATACCTCCGCCATCTCCGACTTCGACGACAACGAGAAGAATATTCTCCGCTGCAGTTTATCTCCATTATCAACTTTTCTCCTGAATTAAGAGATTATCTCATAAGAAATGGCTTATAACTTCCCCGGCGTACCGGCAACCGCTATGCCACCCATGGGTGAGGCTGATTTCTCTAACCATTTATTTCAGTGTCTGTCTTCTGCAAAAATAATGACAACTGTTTACATAATTCCAAAATAGAAAGCCAGGCGTTAACTGGGGTAGTTATATCTACATAGAGAATATTTGAATATGTTACAGGAGCATTGATATAAAAATATGTTTTATAACATAACCATATGCTTTAGGCTACTTCAGAATTGTTATAATGAATAAAAAGAAATTAATGATTCGAATATATTAATATTTAGAACTTTTAAAGCCAACAAATAAAGCTAGTAAATAATAAAAACTTATTGTTTATATAAAGCTGGGTATGTAACAAATATAAAAAGAATTATTTTGAATTAAAAAATGCATAGATAGAAACATAATATTGCTCTTCAAATTTCAAAGAAATATAGAAAATGCAAAAATTAAACTGATTAATAAGTGCGAAAAAATCCGAGAACTGAAGAAGACAACTTGTCATAAAGATATTTTTATATCGTATAAGAGAAAAAATATTTTATGAACTTTTATATCAAAATTATATATATATATATATATATATGTATGTATGTATATATGTGGTTTAACAATCTAAATAAAGTTTGGAATTTTATTATATTAATTAATAAATTTAAAACAATTTTAAAATTTAAATAAGTCATTAAATCAAAACATTATTCTATATTTTTAACATTACATAATTCACAGGTATGGGACCAATAGGTCCACTGGGCCCTATGGCGGGGCCACAAAGCTTTATAGAGCTTGCGGGTCAAGGATTCCCACCGCTGCCACCACCACCCATACCACTGCCTGGAATGAATGACTCGCCTCTGGAGTTCAGCACAAATAAGAATCAACCGCCAATAGTACGAGAAACTTCAGATGATAGTAGTGATAGAAGAAGTGATAAGAATGATAATAGGAGAGATCGGGAGAATAGGGATAATCGTGATACACGAGATAATAATAGAAGGTAATATAGTGATATATATATTTCAATTTTATCTCTCTGTATTATATAAAAGACAATAAATAGAATAATCTTAAAAGTTAAACAAACTTTACAGAATATATCTGTAAATATATCTAGTTATAGCTCGTATGTTATCTTGTAAAAGGTCAAGGAGCGAACGCAGTGATAGACGCGACAGAGATCGGGAAAGGAGGGAGGAGAGAAACGAACGAGACAGAAGGGACGATCGACGAGTCGAAGAGAGAAATAGCACGAGTTCTTCTAAGAATAATAATAATCACTCTAACAACTCGAGCAACAACGAAATTTTATCGTCGACGAATACGAATAATACACCAAATATCGGCACGCAAATGGAATCCGCTGGCGTCTGGGGAATGGGAGTGGGTTATCCCATGATGGGCATGGGACCCATGGGACCGATGGCACCCATGATGGGCGAGATGACACTGGGTCCACACATGAGTCACACGCATGGTTACAATCCGATGAGTATGAGCATGTTGTCGCATGATGGCAGTATGATAGGCGCTCAGATACTCGGTGCCGAACAAATCATGACGGACGCAGCACAAATAATGACCGCAAGTTTGCCACCGCCACCCACGACGCCTCAAGGTACCAAAGAGATCGTACATTGTAAGAGTTGCGTGTTATTCCCACCGAATCCGAACGCTCCACCACCCACCACGCGCGAAAGACCACCGGGATGTAGAACAATTTTTGTTGGAGGTAAATATTAATCAAATATAATAAAATTATTTTATATTTTAAAAATAAATCTATGTTTTACATAGGTTTACCCGAAAACATTACCGAAACTATAATACAGGAGATATTCGAACGATGTGGGGAAATAACTACCTTGCGTCTTTCTAAGAAGAATTTCTGTCACATACGTTTCGTCTTGGAAGCCAGTGTCGATGCAGCGATTTATTTATCTGGCTATAGAGTAAGAATAGGATCTAGTGGGGAACCTGCGAACACTGGTAGACTTCATGTAGATTTTGCTCAGGTTTGTTATCTGTAAAAATTATCTTCTAATGTATAAATTACTGATACTAATTTTATGTCATCTACCTACATAATTGTTGTATAATAATTTTTAGGCTAGAGATGATCAATATGAATGGGAATGCAGACAACGACAACTGCAAAGGGAACAACGTCATAGAGAAAGAGTGGAAAAAGAGAGACAAAGACCGCCCTCGAGTCCACCTCCGGTGGTACATTACACGGATCATGAAGCATCCAATATCTGCGAAAAAATTAAACAAGACGACACATTTATGAAAGCAGTACAAGTGAATAATTATTTCGATAAACAATAACTTTTTTTAGTTTGCAATTACAGTCATAGATAAGATTCTGTATTTCACCATAATCCATTCAATGGTTTTTGTAGGTCGTCGTAACGTGGTTAGAACGAGGAGATTGCACCAAGCGTAATGCCAATACTTTCTACTCGATGATACAATCAACAAACTCTCATGTGCGTCGGCTTTTGACAGAGAAAGCTGCGTATGAGGAAGAGCTGCAAAAGGCCAAAGAGCTGATGAAGGGAAGAATGCAAGGACTTCTCATACAATGTAAGTTTATATGCTTTATTATTTTCTGTCTTCAAGACAGCTCCATACTATCGTACATATTTCGTGTGCGCTAAGAAAATCCGCATTGGCTGGTAAGTTTACTTTGGCATATAAATAGGCCCAACGAGGAAATCATCTCTCCTCCATATTTGGATATAGCAAATGCAACAAAAAAACTTGTGATTATTTCGTTTATGATAGTATAAAAATAATGACGACGTTATTTCTTCACTGTGTACGACAAATCTTTGTGCCACATATCGAATTCCGATAATAAGCAGAGATTTTTCTTATGAAGGTATGTGTTATACATCGTCACGTGATAATTAAGAGTAACAACTCATGACATAAAGGTACAGCAGCCAATTCTAATCAGGTATCAAAATCAAATCTCGAATTTTAAGCTTGTCGATCTCGACGTATATTTCGAAGAACGGCTTTTACATATCAAGTGATACGCTTGACATAAAATTATATAACTCTTGATATACAACAAAATACTTCTCTGTCTCGTCACTAACTTTAGCAATCTCTCTCAAGTGTATCATAGCGAGTTCGTTATATATAAATTCTGTTATGGTCAATGCACGATTGGAGGCGACTCGGTAGGAAGGATCAGAGATAGTAGGCGAGGATAAGGTGGGTGAAAAATCCTGTCTTCTCGGACTTAGGAACCAACAAAACTGACGAGAACAAAGGCAGTTTATCGCAAATTCTATCTCAATAGAGCCATAGTGTACTTGAAAGTTGCATGCTTGGCAATGCTAAGAAGTAAGGGTGATGGGCTGGGCATCCATTGTTAAATGATTATTTTGAATTGCAAGATTCAAACTACTATTATATAATTTTCTTCATCGAACTTATATACGTGTATATTGTACATGACTGTTCAATAGATACTAAATTAAAATATGTGTTGGCCATTCAAAATAATTCTTAACATCGGAAATCCAAAAATTGCAAGTCTTATGGGGTTTACATTATCCGCAGTAAGATGGAAAGGCGAGCAATGAGAGCGGAATGTTTGGTGAAACCAACTACATTAGATTAAATGCGGCACAATCTACGTGAGACTCTGTGAGACTCTATTCGTAGCTGTATCAATACTGTATCAAAATATGCTCCCGATTTAGTAAAGGTGGGAGGTACTGTTCTATTCATCGAGAGGAATGTCACGATAGCTAAAACATTTAAACATGTCAAGAGATGCGCGTAAAGAGAGTACTAGAAAGCATAGACCAAACTACCAACTTTAGAGTTTGAAGCAAAAGGTATACAACGGTGGATTTGTTGTGTTTTTTTGTATGCAACATGCGACCATGTCATCAACAGTCAGTCAGATCGAACGAGTCTTTACCGCGGCCAGCCACAAGAAGGTCTGGGATCACTTCACTAAGGCGCAGCGGAAGAACATCGAGATGTGGAAGAAGCAATCCTCGGTATGTACGTAATGCACTCCCACAATGCTGGTAGCGTGTCTTTTCTTCTTTCTCTTATTCTATTTAACTTGAAGCAATCTCAGAGTCTTATCTGTCGCAAAATATGCTCCTACGCGCGCTTTGCACGATATCCTCCAAACACGCTCGTTTTGCAAATTGTATTTCTAAGATATCTACAGGTAAGTGCGATCATTGACAAAGAATCAAATTTCCGCCTGCGAAAAAAAAACAGTCAGACACCTCGCTTTTCTTCGTGCATTTATAATTCGATACTTTTATCGTGGAACGGCCGCGACAGTAAAAGGTAGATAAATCCTGTCGGCAATGCGCACAACATTAAGAAAACAGCCTATGGAACAGAAGGTAATGCGAGAATTAACAGTTCCGGATCGAAGAAAAGCAACCACAGACTATCAGACAGCATGGATTCGCCTCATTTTCCTGAACTGTGTTACTCGATATACAATACTTTTATTATTTCTGTACTTCAGAGCAACTCTGCTTCTTAAGTTCAGGTAAGCCCAAAGCGTTCCAAAGAGGCACAAGTCCCGGAAACGCTTAATCAAAACTGAGAAAAAAATTTGTATTGCATCGCGTGTTTCAACTCTGAATTACAGAAATTTACGAAACTACGTAACATATAACATAAAAAAAGAGATTAGTAATATATCATATATATAAAAAAATTATAGAATCAACCATATTTAGGGATATATATATTTAAATATCATTGTTTGAACAACATATATAGGAGACTACATACTTTGCATGCATTTGTGTGAAAAAACGATTCCTACGGATCGATGCATTTTGTAATTTTTTTTCTATTCGTAATGACAGGAAATAAAAGCGGTGCAACTGGAAGATAGTCTAATTGAAGGCGAGGGAGAAATGGACGTGTCCGATTCGGAGAGGAGCCGCAACGTAAGAAGACACGCAATCAATCAGACGGCAACGACGACATCGAGAGACTGCAAAGTCTCAAAGAGGAGAACGACAGTCTGAGATGTCAGCTGGAAGCGTACAAAAATGAAGTGCGTATCAATATAAACAAGTCCAAGCAAAAGATTTACGTAAAATTTAAATTTAAATCTAGGTGGATCTCTTGAAGTCGGAAACGAAAGCAGAGTTAGAGGCGAAGGAAAAGCAAATGAAGATGCTGCAACAAACCCTGAAGGGTATGCAGGAGCAACTGATGCAGTCACGCAAGCAACAGGCGCAGGACGATCAGAAGATCAAGGATTTGACGGTCAAGCTAAATGCTACGAAAAAAGAGGAACCCAGAGAAAGCGAAATCATCACTCTCGACAAAGATGATGATATAAGCGAGGAACCACGAACACCGAAGCAGCACATTCTTGCCTCCAGTTTTATTCAAGTCACTCAAAAGGATGCTAAGCTCATCGGTAAATATGTTCATACTTTTTATGACGAGATATTGTTTCCATAATGTCAAAAAACTTAGAAATTATTGATGAAAACATTTTTTTGATGCCTTTGCAATGTTAATTATGATTTTTATTAATAATATACGGTACATTATAGGACTCATAGCGACGTTTCTACATATCCATCCGTTTGGTGCAAGCGTGGATTATCTATGGTCTTATCTGCAAAAAATGGAGCCTGGCATTAAGCCTAACGAAGTCGAAGTTTTAATGCAGCGTTTTCCACAGGTCTTTAAACAGGAATTGTTCGGCATTGGTGCGAATATGGAAAGACGATGGCAATTTTCAGGTTTTAACGTTTATCGTGCTCATTGATGGAATCTAGACGATTAAATGTATAAAAATTGCGAAAGTAATATTCGTCTCGTTGTTCCTTTCTTATCATTAATATATCTGCAATCCGCGCGAGTGCAATTGAGATTTTAAGGTGATAAATGTGTATTAAAATAACGAACAGAATGCGTTGCCGTGAATTAATAAAGTATCTTTATCAATTCTTAATTTGAAAGCTTATTAATTTCAAGCAAAACCATAATTTACAGTTGGGTCTTGATTGTCTTTTTATTGAAATTTAGCAATATCTAATTAATTAATTTAATGTTATTATAAAAATTAATTCGAAAAATAAATGTAAAAATTTTTAAGATATCAGATTGAATCATTTTTTAAAAATAATTGTATAAATTTGCGACTACTGCGCGCTGTTATATTAAAAAATTTCAAATTGAGCTGCTTTCTTATGCCCATAATGTTTTGATAGCAAAAACCAAAAAAAAAGAAAGATATAAAAGAAATATATGTTTTCTTCTCTTTTTGCACAAGATTGGATACTTAATGATTTTGTGGTTTTCAATTTTCATTAGAGAATAAGATTATATAAATTTTTCTATATGTTCTTCAGAGAGAGAGAGAGAGAGATCTAAGACTTTATCCGCGCAATCTCTACTCTTAGAAATTAGATATTACTCATATTCAATCTAGGCAATTTTGCAGAAAGTTTCTTCAACATTTATTTAACTTTATCAGTTTAAAATCATCTATGCGAAAAATGAACAGCTAATTTGACCTTAACACAGTAAAATTTGGTTCTGTCAAAATAAATATACACATACGAACAATGACAATTATTATGATTCGTATCGACATCATACTTTTCTCTACTTCAATAGAAAGACGTCAACATATTGAATTGATGATCGGTGAGGAATCTATTAAAAATAACAATTTATCTTTTATTGTGAAAACGCGACAGAACGAGTAAAATAATAATTATTACGGTAATGTATAACGGATATAAATTCGACGTTTTGTAATGACATAATTCTCTAATGCATTCTTTATAAAAAAACTGAACAGACATTTTTTTATAACAATTTTCAGATATTACTAACAATCTAGTAAATATTTATTAACGAAATCTATGTTTGACGAAATATTTAAAAAATTTAGAGCTCACGCACATATTTAAGGAATTTTCTTTCCTTATATACTAAATCACATCGTACTTGTAAATACTCTACAAGCCTAATTTTGTTCATTTCGAATTCAAATTATTTTTCTCAAAATGTCATTATATATAAAAAAAATCAATTTGAAGAAAGAAAGAACATCTTCCGCAATTGAAGAAAGAAATATAAATGTGGAAAATATGTCAATGGCAGCCTTTCTAAACGAAAACTTTCACCACACAACTTCTTTGAATTTTTTAAATCCTATTTGTACGAAAAATATTAGAAATTTAACATTATCAAATATTAATATCAGTTGCTTGCCAATAGAGTTAGGTCGTTTGCCTTTCCTTCAAAGTGTTAATCTATCGCATAATGAGCTTGCTCAATCTAAATGGACATGGCTAGAACAGGATACTATTAAAAAAAATTTAATTGAACTAGATATCAGCGATAATTCTGTAAGTTATTATAGCTTGTTATTAGTTACTCAAAAATTATGAAATTATAATTGAAACAATGAATTATCATTTTTGAAAAAATGTATTATCATCTCTCTCAAAGTTATTAATATTTTATTTATATTATTTATAGTTAACTGAATTACCACCACAAATCGGAAAATTAAATACTTTAACATACTTAAAAGCTTGTTTCAACAAGTTGAGATATCTACCACAAAGTATTGGTATCTTGCAAAATTTGAAACATATATATTTATCACACAATAAATTAGAAATTTTGCCAGGGACTCTCAAATTTTTGGGATTGATGTGTTTAGACATATCAGAGAATTTATTAAAAAGAGATTACTTTTTTCAAAATAACTTTGATTTTGAGATTGACAATGCTCTTGGATTTAAAAAATGGAAAATACCAACACTCATGGAACTGTCAGCTAAGATAATCCTAGGCTTTAGGTTTGTCGTTTGTAATTTGTTATATATTGTTTTTTTTAATATATACTTTTTGACATTCAAAATATGTAATATATTCAAGCTAGAATAATTCTGTTATTTTATATTTTATAGAATACCATACAATAATATAAATTTAATATCATCTACATTGATAAAATATTTAGACGAAGCAAAATATTGTTGCATATGCAAAAAGCCTGCTTTGATGTCAACGCACACTCTGATACAAACATTAATTATTATTTATTAACAACTATAATTGATAATGAAGGCATCATACAGGGTTTATTAGAGACTGATCATGTAACATTGGAATGTTACTTTTGTTCAAACGGTTGCTTGAATCTTTTTTATTCTGATTATTTCAGAAACATTAATGATGAAAACTGATATTATAGTTAGATTAACATTTATTACAATGTGACTTCATTCAACAAAATAAATGGACATTGAAAGCATCTAATTAAAATCTCTTTGTTACATTCACTTTTAATGTTAATAATTTTTATTCATATGTATTTGTATTTACATATATATATATATATATATATATATATATATATATATATATATATATATATATATATATACATACATAGATATTAATTTTACAATGTTTACATTTTTTCATATTTTACTTTACATTGTATATTTATATATATATATAATGTAAATTATAACGTCGTTATTTATTTTGCACAAAATAAAAAAATATATTTATACATTCTTTTTTTATTACTATCGATTTTATATGTTAAATATACATTTTTCTTTATAAAATAATTGGAAAAATTAAAATAAATATATACATATATATGAAAGGCTGAGTGAAGAAGATATATATATATATATATATATATATATATATATATATATATATTAATATTTAATTATAATCTTATATAATGATATACATATATATAATATATAAAAATAAACTTGAATAATTTAAAAAGTGAAATATAAGAACAAACAAGAACAATATATTATATTTCCTTCTTAATGAAAAAAAAGAACAGCCAGAGCCTGAATATATTATTTTCTTTCTTTTTTTATTTAAATTTGTTTCATAAAAGTATTATTGGAATTGTTCGCTCACTTTTCTCCTTCCCTTCTTTTATTCTCTTTAAGAAGACATATTTTAATACCTCGAAAAATAGTATATTATATTTCGTTATTACCAGAACTATTACATTTTCATGTTTCCCGCCATTTTTCGCGAAAACGTAAACCAACTGTTTCATGTTGGTAGCCTTGTTTGAATTACAAGATGGCGCAGACATGAATGAATCGCCGCTTAGGTTAGATTACCTAACCATAAAAGCACCATTTTACTTGGAATCACCTGGACCTTTCTTAGGTAAATTAACAAAATAATTTAGTATTTTTAAAAAGAATAGAGAAAGGAGTGTCAAAGAAAACCTTTTATATAAGTACAGGTTAACGGCACGAAAAACAACAATATATAAAAAAGATTTGGAATCCAGAATCCTTGATGTTTATAATCGAGAACAAGGATGAATTACTACGAAGTACTCGGCTGCAACAAGGACTGCACTGACGAAGAGATCAAGCGTGCTTATCGGCGTCGTTTGCTGCAACTTCATCCTGATAAAAGTGGTGCTACGGACAGCCATGAGTTTCAAAACGTCAAAGAAGCCTGGCGAATATTAGGATATCCGGAATCGAGAAGGCAATATGATGCAACATGCAAACAGGAGGAATTAGAAGACACGGAGAGTCCTGTATTCATGCGGATCTCGCAGAGCGATCTTGAGGGATGCGACGAAGACACGTTGTTTTATCGCTGCAGATGCGGTGATTGTTACTTCGTCGAGCGAGATCACCTTCGAAAAAAGAACACTTTGCTCCAAGTAATGTGCGACGGTTGTACGCTTACTATAATTGTTGAAACGTAGCGCATAGATATAAAATTTATGTAAAAAATATAGCATTATATTATGACATATCTACAAATTTTTAGAAAATTTGTATCTTGTATAAAACGATTGGACAAATGATGATTTGAGATTCGTGTCTAATAAGATGATGGATTTGGAGGTGTTTTTTTGTTCACATTTGTTCTTTGTACAGTGTAAGATAATATCCACAGCTATGTAGAAAGAGGTCAAAATCGAACATTTATTTTGTACAAAATATGTTTCTTAGCACAAGAACATGTGTACAGCTGTAATAAATTTAAAAAAAAAAAACAATCTAAAATATGTAGCAACATTTTTTTCTATTTCTTATAAAAAAATGATACAACAGGTAACACATTCTTATAATATAAACTATTGAGCAATATACAAATAAACACGACACCTAGTCTAACCTAGGTCCAATAATAAAGATGCATTTGCACAAATTGCATTATAGGTAATGCTATTCATGATATGATTCAGTAGAATCCAATGTAAATTTTGCCAATCAATATGATGATCTAAGTCCCCTTTATGTAATTTGTGTTAAATGGAAAAGATCTGGCTAATACAAATATTCTTTCTTTAATAAGTTCCTTTGCAATTGACAAAAATATTTAAAAAAAAGTAACTATACTGCTTTACAAGCTTGTATTAGTTCACTGTTTTGTAAATCTGTATTGCACGTGAACAAATGTGCTATTTTTATTATATTGCACCATTGGCAGAGCGAAACATGCAATGTTGAAAAAGGAATCTTGTATTCTAGATCTTTAATCTAGAGCTATCTTTATAAAAACTGAAAATTTCTTCTCTGCTGTTTTCCTATTATACATTCACTATGTGATTGTGCATAGAATGAGACAAAGTAGAAAATTTCAGAATAAAGGATTAGCTTAATCTCGATAATTCTAAAACAGAAGATTTCTACAATACAATGAAAAAGTATACTGTAAAAAAAAAAACATTCTTAATTTGGATTGCTTCGTAATCCATTTGGCATTTCATGCTCTTTAGTAAATGTCAATAATATGAAAATATCACGGCTTGTAAACATTTATAAAAATATTTGTTTTTAACCAGATCACGATGTTTGTACAGATAACTAATAAAGTCTAAAGTTACATGATTAGGAAATGTTGCAGCCAAAACAATCAGTTTGACACGCGAATCGATTAAATCGACAATAAATTATATAAAATTTATGTTTTGATCTATAGACACGTTTGAAATTTCTCGGAAAAAAAATTCGTAGTCCAAATAATTGTGTTGAAATTGTCGATAATCTCCTCGTTTTTACTCCAGGAAGTATGAGATTCTTCAAATATGTCATTTTTGTCTTGTAGTTTCAGTATGTCTCAGTCGTCTTATCATTTTCAGTCTGTCATCATTGACAAATACATTCCTAAATGCCCACATAATAGACCTGTTATATTTACAATTAATTTCGAATTAGGGATGTTTGCTACTTTTACATCGTTGATGATTCCACTGAATCCTTATAACAGCGAAAATTCAGAAGTACACTGATAAGCTCCTCAGTTTTTTTCCCGTAAGTTTATGAGTCTTATAAATCTCACATTTGTACACCACAACGCGCGCGCACCGACAAAACGATAATTATAATTCTTCGACGGGCACTTTAATCCATCTGGAGATCATACACTACATATATCTCCCCCTCCCCCCTCTTTCCTCTCCTCTCTCTCTCTCTCTCTCTCTCTCTCTCTCTCTCTCTCTCTCTCTCTCTCTCAATTACTCACGCTCTCTCATTCGTTTCCGAATCCTCCCATTTCACAAAAAAAATTTCACTCGATATTTACGACGTGTACACAGTCTTATCACAATCACACCATGTAATACATGTACAGTGTAGATTAGTTTTTAGACTACTTAATTGAAAGTATATGTACAGAAGTCGTACAAGGGTGGCGTTTGTATCCAAGTGATGAAGCGCACTATTTTACCTCAACGTCGAAATCGAGGACAAGCAGTTTCGTCTCCTCGGTACCATTTCGACTACCAACTGCACACACTAGTTTCGTATCACTCGCTCGAATTCTCCACACGACACCACCGCTACCCCCGCTATCGAGAGCAACTAGATTCCTAATAAAATCACCTGTAAGCATACGACACAAATTGTGTTTTCGATAAGATGCACACATTCTGATTGGAGAAAGTCTGTGATTGGAGAAACAAACGACTATATAAAGCAGAAATATACGAACCAGTCTTAACATCCCAGAGTTTTACTGTACCATCGTCAGAGGACGTAATCACAAAATGACTATTGAACTGAAGGCAAGTGACCGCTGACTGATGCTTGTTCGGACCGGAGAGAGTTTGAAGGCAGTGACCGCTAACAATGTCCCACACTTTAACTGTAGAATCAGCATTGCCAGATACTAAAATATTATTGCGCAATTCCATTCCCGAGGTGAGAGACTGATGACCCATTAGAGTGTGTCTACAAGCACCAGTTTCTACCTCCCACACTCTTATGCTCGTGTCCAACGATCCGCTAACAACGTGCACACCGTCGAACTAATGAAAAAAAAAGACAAAAACAACTTATTAATGGCAAGAAGCAATAAGTGCAAACATTTAAAATGAAATAAGTAAAAACAGTGCACTTACTTGGAGGGAATAAACGCGGTTGGTATGTCCTTGTAAAGTATGAAGGCACTCCTCGCGCTCTGGATTCCAAACTTTGACCATGTAGTCGTAGGCACCACTGACCACCAACTTCCCGTCATATTGCACACATCTGACCGCCGCTAGGTGCCCCACGAGCACATGCAAGCACTCCCCCGTGTCCACTTGCCACACTCTTAGTGTCGCGTCTCTACTACCACTGACGACTTTGTTACCATGTAAATGCATACACCTCACTGTCGACGTGTGACCGTACAAAGTGTGAATGCAATGACCTGTGTCTGCATTCCACACTTTCAAAGTACGATCCGTACTACCACTGATAACGATCGTGCCAGACATCTGCGAAGACCACACGCCACCAGTATGTCCGACTAATGTCCGTAAGCACTAAAACATGGAAAAAATATGTTATTCTTTCTCTATCTCGCTGATAAAATTGCTGTAACTTTGTAATTTGTACTTAATTACCTTGCCCGTTGCAGCGGACCACACTTTGAGAGTATTGTCATCAGAACCACTAACTATCCGGTTGCCGGAGAACTGAAGACATGTAATAACGTGATCGTCGTGACCCTTCAACACCTTCGGTGTACGAATCGGTTTCGTTCTCCAGTTCATTTTAATATTATGTTGCCGCATATAAGCCTGCTTCCAGGGCGACGAGTGACTGCCGCTACGGCAGTTTTTGCGCTTCAGCGATGGCAGATCCTTTAGATCATCTATGCCGGCCGCTTTGCACTTTTCTTTCCAAAGTAGATTGTCGTCGGCTAGGAATCGCCAATTTCGACAAGTCTGCGCCGCCCTTAAGAGATCTTTTGGCTCTAGGAACGCTAACACCGATAGCGCTAGCTCTTTCGGCAGAAGTGATATGAAATCTCGCTGAAATTGTGGCTCTATCACCTGCATCATGTGACGCACCTGCGTAGGCTCGCATCTGTCTATTAATTCGTCTATTGCTAACATTCTTTCTGCATTTGACCATCTCTGTAACAAGCATAATTTTTTACTTGAGAAAAATTTACTATTATATATTTAATAGAATATTTTTTGCTATTATATATTTTTTTATCGATATGAGCTGTCGATTCATTGTTATTATTTTCATACAAGTACACAAGTCTATTTATGCAAATACCTGAAATTGCAAAAGCCAACTACTTAGTTCTGGAGGAGGATTATCCTTGGTAGGAATGACACATCTCACATGTTTACCTTTATCGTCCAATTTTCTTGTAGCCCTAAGAAAAAGAAATATTAAAATTCACGAAATTAAAAGAAATAAATATTGTAGGCCAACTAAACGAGCAAAATTACATAAGATCTAAAGATTTATTAATAATTAAATTCTCATTCCATTAGAGAAACAATATACAACGTAAACGTTTCGACTGCACTACAGTCTTCTTCAATACATAAAACTCAAAATATTAAAATACAAAGTTAACGATTCTTCGCTGATGAACAATGGATGAGTAAGACGATTGGTCTGAGATTCCATGTTTTGCGACATTTAATCATGCTGTGGAGATTTTACGCGAATTAAATTAATATCAGAGAAAATTAAAAAATCTTTCAACTTACATTATCGTTTTAACAAGTTCTTCTTCTCGAAATTTCAAGTGTGTGTTGCGAAGTCGAAATAACAAATGTCAAGGTAGAGAGCGTGATGTACATCACACACTTGAAATTTCGAGAAGAACTTGTTAAAACGATAATGTAAGTTGAAAGATTTTTTAATTTTCTCTGATATTAATTTAATTCGCGTAAAATCTCCACAGCATGATTAAATGTCGCAAAACATGGAATCTCAGACCAATCGTCTTACTCATCCATTGTTCATCAGCGCAGAATCGTTAACTTTGTATTTTAATATTTGAGTTTTATGTATTGAAGACTGTAGTGCAGTCGAAACGTTTACGTTGTATATTGTTTCTCTAATGGAATGAGAATTTAATTATTAATAAATCTTTCGATCTTATGTAATTTTGCTCGTTTAGTTGGCCTACAATATTTATCTCTTAATTTCGTTAATTTATACGAGCCTTTCATTAATTAATATTAAAATTCATGTAAAGCAGTACTTCACAAGATAAGTGATATAATACTTACATTGTATGAGACTTTTCCTCTGGATTAAGTTTTTTACATGGTAGGCAACATTCTGTTTCACTCTTTCGCTTTCTAAGAGGCTGGGCAACATCTGATGACATATTATTATGCGGCACTGGACTCTGTTCAGGGAGAACCATTTGAGATTGCGATACAGGTGATTGACCATTGTTGCTCTCAACTTCTGCTGTACATTCGGTATCGCAGAACAATCCACTGTCGCTAATCTAATAATATGATTAATATAGCATTAATTACTGGAACATTATTAATTATGTAGTTTAGTTTTGTTATTTATATGCAAGAAATTTAAAATAAAAGCCAAAATATATTTAAAATTCAGTCGCATCATTGATCATTATAGTGAGCATAATTAAATCAAGATATGCATCAAAGCTTGACAAAGTTGCATCATTCAGGAGAATAGATTTAGAGCTACTTTCATCAATTTCCCATTAACTTTATTACATAAAAAAAAAAAATGAGAAACAATGAGTTTTGTTTAGAAACTGCAATTTTAATTAGGATATGATTAAGATGGCCATATCTATGTTGAAAATGTATCTTAATTAAAAAACTTACTTCACTTTCTCCTTCACTACTCTCTTCGTCACCCTCATCTTCGTCATCTCCATAATCCTCAGATTCCTCGTCTTGTGGCAACACAGAATTCATAGGATCCAAGGAACTGGGTCCAGGAATTCCCTCAATGCCTTCGATTGGACTAGGACTGGCACCGCCTAGTTTATTATTGTCAGATATATTGTTGGAGGATGAAGGAGGGATAGACATTACTATACACAGCGATAGTATTAGGTTTATGGATATAGTAACTGCACCTAAATAACACAAAAAAAGGCCATTATCAGTAAAATTGAGACATGCCAAACGAATCTTTATCAATTTATTTGCTTTTATTCGACATATAACTCTCATATCTTCGATAAATCATAATTTCAACAAACGCGTGGTTCCAACGAAAATGTCGCTATTCTCATTTTATCGAAGGCTCGCGAAACTGCAATTGAAACGATCGAGAAATAAAAAAGAAAAAAAATCAGGAACAAGTTCGCTCGCCCATACGATGCGATTAAGATGTAGGTTACAATCTGTCGGACGACGATCGTCTCGCCACGAGGATACACCCTAACCTCTCGAATCGCCCACGACTCGTTCATCCGAAATTACTGCGAGGAACAAAGGACGAAAAACCTCGAGCCACACCCCGACACATTATCCGCGGCGTCAGCGACGAGGCGAATTTACGACAAGCTGCGAAACTCGGCAAAGGGGGGCGACTTATGCCGTGCAAAGACTGGGGGGTTCATACTTAGGACGAGCGCCGTTCCCGGTCGTCGGGGCCCTTATTGGTCGATGGACGACGACGTCTCTCCGGCGATGCGCGTGGAGTCCCGTCCGGGTCGACGACGACGACGACGACGACGTGGTGCTGTCTCTATCAAAGGAGCATGGCATTCGTGTCCTCTCTCTCTCTCTCGCGTGCGGCGGGCCGTCGTGTGTGGGCGACTATCTTAGGTTAGAATCGCGAAGGGCGATGAGGATTTCGTGCCAGGGACGGCGAGGGCCGAGGGTTTAAACGAGCGTCTGCGGGTTGACGGATGACGGCGAACGTAAACGACGCGACGAACGACGTGAATCCATCGAGGGTGGCCTCCTGGCGCGCTATCAGCCACTAACTCCGCACCACCCGACTCCTTCACACAGCACTGCACAGTGAATACACACACATGCATGCGCGTACGCACTATATATATATGTGTGACGTATGCGCATGCGCGCGTCAGTAAGCCGCGTTCTCATGCAGGGGCTTCTTTCATGCGATTGGAGTCCTCTCTATATGTTTCTCTATTTTACTCCGTGATTGTAGCTTGTTTGGTATTTATCCGAGTATCGAATTTTTTGTTATATTACTCGATAAACTCATAAATAATTTTAATATAATTATATTATAATATAATAATAATAATTATATTATATGATATAATTATATAGTTAGAAATAATTATATTATTATTTATTATCAGATTTTATTTATTTCATACTAATGACGTTTGACGTTTGACGTATCAAAAATCACTTAAACATCGATCAGCATCGATAATTAAGGTATTTTTATTCATCCGATGACATATATACTTTTTCGCTATATGGAATAAAAAAAATATTTAATTTTATAAATAAATTCAATAAATATTTTTAATATATGTTTTAACACATAGTGGAAGAGTTGAAAGAGGATTTCGGAGCAACAGGGAGAAATCGTGAATAATGTCAAGAGAGAGAGATAAAGCTACCTCCTAGACTGTCTCTCTCTCAACTGACGTTTCGAACTGCGCAGCTGCACGTTCTGATATATACAAGAGTTCGAGTGCATCATGACGATAACGACGACGACGACGACGACAACGACGATGATAAGGATGCCGCGCGACGACGTCCGCACGCGTGCATCCCGGCAGTGAGAGATCGGCATCGGCGACCTGGTGCTAAACGAATCGTCGTGAAAAACGGAATGTCGGCGCGACGTGACGATCAAGCGCAACGCGGACCTGTTGTCACAGCCTGAATCGTATAACATACGTACGCCGCGAAAACGCATTTTCATCCCGATTCCGACGTAGGCTCGCGCCGCTAATCGGTTGGGTGACATCGAATCCCGGACGTAATGGCAGCCCACAAGACGGGCGGGCAGAGCGCCCGGAAGAAAGTGCAGGTATGACAGATCGACCGATTCTCTCTCTTTCTCTCTCTCTCCCTCTCTCTCTATATCTCTATTTCCCGAAGATGTCGAGGAAATGCCGATTATCCCCGGCACCGAGGATAATCGGCATCATAACCATTTTCACGGCTGTCATTAATCTAGGATTATATGTAAGATTATACGCGTTGTCTATAAATGAGATAATCGTTAATTTCCGGATACAAAATCGCGGCTGTAAATTTATAAAATTTAATTTTTGATTTGTTCGAATTAATTTAATATACTCATATATTTGTCGATTTTATTTCTCTCAAGATGTCCGAATAAAATATTATATAGAAATGTCATAGAAATTGGCTTATATACTTGTTTTCTGTATTGAAAAGCGATAAAATAAAAAATTAATTTATTTGTTTGAATTAATTTAATATGCTAATATATTTGTCGATTTTATTTCTCTCAAGATGTCCGAATAAAATATTATATAGAAATGTCATATAGAAATTGGCTTATATACTTGTTTTCTGTATTGAAAAACGATAAAATAAAAAATTAATTTTTTATTTGTTCGAATTAATTTAATATGCTAATATATTTGTCGATTTTATTTCTCTCATGATATCCGAATAAAATATATAGAAATTTGCTTATACTTGTTCACTGTATTGATGAAACGATGAAATTAAAATTATGAATATGAGAAGAGCTGTATATTAATTTGCGATTAATTTTTCTCAAAGGTTTCTATGGTTATAAGAGATGAAGTAGAGAAGCAGCACAGAGCCGGTGTAAATTCCTTACAATATGATCCAGCTCTGCATAGGCTATATTCCGCTGGTAGAGATAGCATTATAAGAATATGGAATTGTAGAAATATGAAAGAACCATATATTCAATCTATGGAACATCACACAGATTGGGTCAACGATATAGTATTGTGTTGTGGTGGCAAAAATCGTATGTACATACTTTTAAGGTCTACAATATTATTATACGTTTCTTAATTTTTTACATATTAGTTTTACAATTGTCATTATTTGTACAGTCATATCTGCAAGTTCCGACACAACTGTTAAGGTATGGAATGCACATAAAGGTTTTTGTATGTCCACACTGCGTACACACAAAGACTATGTCAAAGCATTAGCATATGCCAAAGATAGAGAGCAAGTTGCTAGTGCAGGTTTGGACAAGTCAATATTTCTGTGGGATGTTAATACACTGACTGCTCTTACCGCGAGTAATAATACAGTGACAAGTACGTATTTGCAATTATACATTCAGTATCACACTTTGTCTCTCTCTCTTTTACATATAATTAACATATTAAATTTTATTATAGCATCATCCCTGAGTGGAAACAGAGATTCCATATATAGTCTTGCTATGAACCAGACTGGCACAATTATCGTGAGTGGCAGCACAGAGAAAGTTCTCCGTGTGTGGGATCCACGATTTTGCACCAAACTCATGAAACTTCGTGGACATACAGACAATATTAAAGCATTAGTCCTGAATAGGGATGGTACACAATGTTTATCGGCGAGTTCCGATGGCACTATCAAATTGTGGTCACTCGGTCAGCAAAGATGCGTGCAAACGTTCAGAGTTCATAAGGAAGGAGTGTGGGCGTTATTGGTAATTAGCCAAAATCATTGCTTGCTATGCAAAGTAATTAATATTTTCTTACATTATTGTATTAACACTTTGATGTATTTTAGGCAACGGATAATTTTAGCCATGTAATATCTGGAGGCAGGGATAAAAGAGTAGTGATGACAGAATTATGTTATGCAGAGAGATCTACAGTTATTTGTGAGGAAAAAGCGCCTATACTCAAAATGGCTATGACGCCAGATCAATCTAGTATTTGGGTTGCAACCAGTGAATCAACTATTAATAATTGGGTAAATATTTATACTATAGCAATAAATTTTGATAAAAAGAGAACTTATTAACAAAAAAATTAAATCTTATATATTTCAGTCTATAAGTCAAAAAGATTGGCAAGAGTTAGGATTAGGAGATTATTGTGATTCTGCCAGTAATGTATCGAGCAACATTTTGAAGAATACTGAACCTGCACAAAAGATATTAGGTGGTCCTGCCATAAGACATTATCACATATTAAATGATAAAAGGCACGTTTTAACGAAAGATACAGAAGAGAATGTTGCATTATATGATGTACTAAAGGCGTGTAAAGTAGAAGATTTAGGCAGAGTCGATTTCGATCAGGAGAGTAAAAAAAGAAATAAAGTGGTGTATGTTCCAAACTGGTTTAATGTTGATCTCAAAACAGGAGTATGTATATCTTTGATGATTCAAATTGCTTTCCAGAATTGATTCCACGTTCTAAATATCCTTGATTATTGCAGATGTTAACTATACACTTAGGGCAGGATGAAAATGATTGTTTTTCCGCATGGGTTTCTGCCAAAGAAACTGGTCTAGCAGAGAACGATGCTGTAGATCAGAAAGGTAATCAACTGTTTCTTCAATAATATTTGCAATATTAATCTAGAGATTTAATGTTTTATTTTTTCATGTTTTAGTGAATTATGGGAACCTTTTGTTACAAGCACTACTTGAACATTGGTGGAGGCCATTGCATGCCGATGACGAGAATGAAGGTAATGGCAATGATGGAAATGGCCCCATACACACGAGAGGAGGAAATCAATACTTCTCAGTACCTAGTCATACACCTGTCATTTTCAGGTATTAGAAACTGTTTAAAAATATTTTATTAAATAGATGTGTTTTATGTTATTAAATACTTTATTAAAATAAATGTATTTTTTTACTTTTCAGTGAAGTAGGAGGTAGAACCATCTATCGATTATTAGTTCGAGACGCTGCGGGAGAAACTGAAGGTGTCCTATTGAACGAAACTGTACCACCATGGGTAGTAAATATTGTTGTGGATAAGAATCTTCCACAATTCATTAAAATACCTTTTTATCTTCTTCCACATGCTTCTTCGGGTGTAAAAAGTTTGAAAAAGTACGTGTCACGCTTACTCTTAAAATCGTCTTGACGCGATCAAGTAATCTTGCATATTATTATTTTGAAGGGATCGGTTAATCGCAAATGATTTTATACAAGTGCGTAAAGTGGCAGAGCATGTTTACGATAAGGTGCTTGGTGCAGGAAGTGATTCAGGTTCAGTAGCTGGAGGTGGAAATACTGTTTCAAGCGGATCACCAGCGGGGGATAGAACTAACACAGATTCTAATGCTGATAATTCTTCACTGGCCGAGGAAAAGGTCGAACTGTTGTGTAACGATCAGGTTTTGGATCCCTCAATGGATTTGAGAACGGTGTGTATAAAATTCGTGTGTAAAGCTTTTGTTATTGTTGCGGAAAACAAATTTTTATATATATTTGATTAATGCTTTTCAGGTAAGGCATTTTATCTGGAAAAGTTCAGCAGATTTAACACTTCATTATCGCCCTGTTAAATAGTTAGAATTAACTACATTGCATCGCGAGTCTTTACAGTGTGCCTGGTTTTATACCATGGTAAGATACTGCACATTCCACTATTTCCCTCTTTTCCATCGATTCTGAATCAAAACTGCAACAAGATTGATTCATTTCAGAATAATGGAAAATACATAGTGGGCTACTTGCAGAATATGGTACCTTGTGCCACTTTCTCCTTAGGAAATGATCACCTGGATTTAACAAATGTTTCGTGTGACGTCGAGGCAGAAGCGAAAGAAAGCGAGGCATATTTGGAGTATTAGAATATAATATGTAAAGTTCAAAGGCAATAATGTGTGGAAGTATTAATGTATAAATTGCTCACTTTTATACACACCTGCATCCCGCGGCCAAATTCACACAATGGAGCATTACTCTCGATTAATCTGCTTGAGAACAGCATGTTTTTTGTACCTGGATATAGAATTTAAAGTGCTTGTTGTCAGCCATTTATCGTCTTCCCGTCAGAAGTATCAATAAGAGAGCGTATAGCACAAATGCAAAAAAGAAAAAAAATAGAAAGAGGACAGACCGCATGGCCGAGAAGAGTTAGTTTTATTAGGTCTAACAGGATCCAGGTGATCCTCTTTCACAAATGCTTCTTAAATTTCCTTTAATCTACATTAGCTAAACTTTCCTCCCATAATCAGTACATAGGATTATCTTGTTTTAGTATTGTAATAAAAGTATTGAATATTTATTGAGAGAAGGCATAAGAGAAATTGTATAATGTTTTGTTACATGCATGCAGAATGTATACTCCACACCTGCCTTGTTACATTAGAGAGCAAAGAAAAGATATATATATATATATATATATGAGAAAGAGAGAGAGAGAGAGAGAAAAGAGAGAATATGTCAATTTACCATTAATCAAATTATATTTGAATAGCCAAATTAGAAGTTCAATATTTCCTATTTTGTTTGCATAAGAAATAAGAGGATGTATTTGTCTGCAATGTAATAAGGTCAAATTCTGTCTTAATCAAGATTAATAAAGTATAGATTAGGAATTGGATGTACATTAAAAATGAAATTTTATGTGTATAAAATTAATGAATATATTGAAGTATATATATAATATATATATATATATATATATATATATATATATATATATATAATAACATTAATAATGAATATAAATCGTAAATATTGAAGAACACTACAGTATTTAACAGAATTTGATCTTTGAAAAAGAGATTTATAACGAATAAAAATTATGTAGTTGTTTTTATGTTAATATGTTCGATTTCTCTATAAGTTGTACATATGCGAACACGACTGTGAATAATGTCCATTAATGATAATAGGTCATATAAATAAAAATTTAACAAATCTTATTATGCGAACGATTGAAAGCCAATGACATTTGCTATTGCTGCAAACAGTTAAATTGTCAGGAAAGAAATTGTACTAGTTTTTATTAATATGGTCTATAAATTATATCGTTTATTAAAGTTGCGCGTGCATAGAAGCACAAGTCTTCTCATAAATGTAAATGTCTCATTGTCATTTTTCAAAGTAGTAGATATAATGTGTTTCACAAGTACAACATATTATTTATTATCAAACTTAGGTTAAATTCTGGTTTGCTAATGCTTTATATTAGGAATCATTTTTTATTGCTTATTTTTGTTTTTTTTTCTTTATGCAAGTAGAAATATCGTTAAGACATCATGATAAAGAAACTTTCTCTTGACTAAAGAGAATACATGAATGTATGACTAGTAGAAATTGTATTAGTCTATATAGTTATATATAAGATTATCTTATTTGTTATCTTTAGACGAGTTTTTTCGAAAGACACTGTGCAGTAAATTTATATTTTTTTATATTGGTATTAAATTAAAAAAATCATTTTGAACCAAATGAAAATTAAAACGTAATATAAACATATAATTTTCTTTTAAATATCCCAATATAATGTCTCAAAAATAAGAATTATGAATCGCCTTTGACTTACAATTATTTTAATTATTTATTGATTTATTGCAATGACAACTATAATATATACACAAAGTGAGATTATCAATATAATTTACATTAATTGTATTATTCAGTTCGTTGCATAAGTCTTTGCAAATATGCTGTGCATATTAGTGTTCTCTATACAGATGTATTCCTATATCAATTGAAATTAATCATTATTTATTTTTTTTTTAACAAATAATTAACTTTAGACATTATTTATTATCATAATGTGGAAGTAATCAAGATGTGCCTGATGATAGATTATAAGTTACAGAGGGCATTTCGATTATGACTTGTATTGATATTTAACAACAGCCCATAGTTACAAGATATACGATTACAAAGAGAGAGAATACATTATCATTTCTTTAAATTATCAATAATATAATATAAATCATAAGAAAAGTTACCACACTAGCATTATAAATTTTTTTTCTATTTATTTTGTAGCATGCTTTATTTTATTGAATTGAATGCTATTAGAAATAATAGATTTAGTTTTTTTATTCACAATATCATTAAAAATACGATATTTATATACACAAAAAGTTGAAATATTAATATTAGAAAATCAATAGTGTAAAAAATCAAAATATCAATTTCTCTTCTTGTTTTAATTTAGGTAAAAAAACAAAAAAAGAAACAAAAAAAGTAAGATTGAGTGCCAAATTTTATACTGTGAAAACAATACTCGTAGCACATTGTACTTTTTCAACAGGGAATATTTTGTTTCTATAAATCTGCTTCATTAATGTATTAATGTAGTTTCTACAGTGGTACTACTTATGATGTATAAGGCTGTATAAGGCCATCTAGCAAAATGTGTATTAAATTTATAATTTTTAGAACAAAATTGAACTAATATTGTCTCTACAAAAGATTGAATGTTTGTCATATTGCTTTGTAAAACACATTTTACTATTCTGACATGAAACTTATTAAATTTTCCAGCAAACAAGTCAAATTTTCTACAGTTTTCTACGAGTGTATGTAATGAGACGATATTTCTATCATTCTTTAAAATACTTTTTCATATTTATTCTAATTATAATACATTATCACTGATATTGTCTCCATTAATTATATCAATAAACAGAATGAGAGAAATATATAAAGCTCCATATAAAAAAAGATTGACACTTAATTTCTATTTGTATTTATCGTTTATTTTATAATAATATAGCATCACTTAAGATTATGTACACTCTACAAAACGAAACAAAAATCAGTATTTAAATAAAATATATAATTTAATATACGGAACAGATTATGTTTGTCTACTTGTGCAGCAATTTGAATAAAGAATTCTATTACTATTTACTTAATAATTTCGTTAAATATAAGTCTTCAAACAATATCATCGAGAATACTTTCAACGGCCTGTACAAAAGAATTACATACTCTTGTTGGTCCTGGAGTAATTGTCTTCTCGTCCCCTGTTTTATATTTTCCAGTTTGTACCAATATACCTCTAATTCCAGCTGCCTGTGCACCAGCTACATCATCTCTCACATCCTAATGATAAATATTCATATATAACACAAAAAGTTAAAAGGTATAAAAAAAATTATTTAAAATATTACATCTCCAATCATTACAGCCTTTGCTGGGTCTACATCTCCTAAAGCTGCTTTAAAAAATTCCATATTTGGTTTACCAACAACTTCTGCTTTTACATTGCTGGCATATTCTAAACCTTTGATAAATGCACCAGGACCTAGAGCTAGACCATCAGGACACTTGTAATAACGTCCTTCATGAATAGCTATGAGCGATGCGCCATCCAAAAGTAATCTGAAATAGTATGTATTTATGTGCTGATACTTTTATATATTTAATTTAAAAGACAAGGATAAAAATGTGACACCTGAATGCTTTGTTCAGCTCATCATAGTTGAATTTGCTTGGTGCTAAGCCAACAACTACTGCATTTGGTATATCATTTGTTATTAAATCTTGAAAATCTTCAATCGCTGCTGGATCAATTAATAACATTGGTTTCAATTGCTGAGAGATAATCAATTTTCTTGCTGCAACTAAAGAACTAAAGATTTCATCCTTTCGCAAGTCAAATCCAAGTTTTATCAGACGTTCATACAAACGATTGCTTGACTCTTTGGTGGTGTTTGTGATGAATTTGACCGACAGATTTGCATTTCGTAGCCTAGATTAAAAATTTTAATTTATCATTCTGAGACTAAAATTTATCTGATATTGAATAAACAATAAGATGTTGTTTCTTGGATAACTGTTGCCCTATTGATTCGCGAAAAATTCTTTATTCAATCGTTTATTAGTTAAGATTAAAAGATTCATTATATCCATATTATGACATGTTATATTTATATATTAATTTTTAATTGAATAAGACTTAAAAAACATCAAAAAAAACAAAAAACGTCAAAATATTTTATTTTATTTCACAAAATATTGTGCAAAATAACTTTTCGAATTTTTTATCGAGAAATTCAAAATTATTTATCAATCGCGCCAATTTGTACAGAGATTGCGCATTGTCAATCTATATATGTGTATACATAAATATACACCTACGTACGTACATTTAAAAAAATCTAATTCGCAATTAGACAACAAACAATACCTGTTTAATGCTTGCACAGCGCCTGGAACAATTGTATCATCGATGTGCAATGTTCCACTAAGGTCTATTAATACCGTCGTAATTTGTTTCGACATTATATTACCGCAATTTTTCAGTAACATTACACATTTATTCTAGAGTCTTTCGAAATTAAACTATCGGTAAATGTTTAATTTAATTCGCTTATTTTAGATCTTAGTAAAAATATATTCGACACCTTTTGCATATAAAAATAAGAAATTAAAAATCGAAAAGTGATATTTTAGGTTGGTTTACTACTACGTACATATGCGCAAAGTTTGTTCTTTGACAGCTTTATGTCACATGCGCAGAAATTCGTAATGTCGTCTATCGTCAGAATTTAGAACATATGATCGAAACGTTAGAATTTAGAACGTTGAATAAATAAATTGAATTATTTGAAGTTACACGTGACAAAATATACTATGTCGCAACAAGAGAGTAAATATCTTGATATATAATAATACATCTAACAATGCAAATATATAATTCCTCTTTTCTCATTTAAATATTTAATATTAACCTCTTTTCTCTCATTTAAATATTATTTAATATTAACTTCTTTTCTCTCATTTAAATATTATTTAATATTAATCTCTTTTCTCTTATTTAAATATTAACCATTATTTTCAGAATTGTGCACGCCACTTCCTAGGACTCTTAACTAGTCACATTAATATCTGTGCAAACAGTGAGCAATGTTTTTAATTTTTTGCAAAACTCGTTGCCACCATCTGACTGTAAATGCATTTCAGACGAAATGCGAAAGGTATGTTAGTAATGAGATAAAATGCTAAAGGATAATTACACCGATCGATTAACTAAAATGTTATTCTTTCATGAAACTTTTCATACCTTTAATATTTAATTTTTTCAGACTTTTATATTCAATAAGTTCAAAGTAAAATGCAGAGGAAGACATACTCCCAAAGGCAAATTCTTATCAGCCAGGAAAAGATTACAGTTTGATCTAGGCAAGATTGGTAACAAGAGTCAAATAAAATATTCTGATCTCTTAAATCAATTGTGGTTAAACTATATGCGAACACTGCTTGGTGTTGAAATCCATTTACCACTATACTGAGAATTCCAATAATCCAAATTGGGAAAATGTAAGCCAGCAATTGATGAAAGCTGATTTTCATGGTGCTAAAATTTCAATTGACAAATTAAAATGTCCAACTCTGGTAGGAGTTACAGGGATTGTCATACAAGATACAAAAAACACTTTTAGGATTTGTGGGCTGGAAAAATGTTATTCGGAGTAAGTGACATTTTAAATACATTTCCAGATATATGTAATTTTCTTATAATAGAAAATAATTTATCTATTGTTATATTAGTGCAACAAATTCTTTGTAAAAATTTATAGCAGAATATTATTTAGAAGGGGGTTCATATTCCATGTAAAACTCTATAGCCTTGATTATGAGTTCGGCGCTTGCGACTTCAATAATTACGTCCTTGAAGTAATCGTCTTGCCAAGCTTCTGTAGGATGTTGCATCATCGTGAGAAGCGCGTTATCGTATTCCTCATTCTTGTCATATAAAAACACCAGCTCGGCCCATAGATGTGCTTGTTCTGCCGCGCGTAGCACCTAAAATAAACAACTCTTAAGTAACCAGCTAAGCCTATCTCCTATTCGGAAAACAGTTTGAAATTTGCTACGATCTACCTTCGGTATATTAATGCATGACCAGAAGAGTTTCAAGTGTTCTCTCATTCGTTGAGGCTTATATTTACTATAGAGAATAGCCAGCTCGGTAAACATTCCCATATGAGCTCGTTTGAGTCTTAAAGCAGCTTCAAGAAGATTAATGAGTTCCTCAAAGTGTCCGCGATCCTGGTAGTAATTGATCAGATCCTCGAGCTCATCCGCATGCACGACTATGTGCAGACCGCACATTTGGGCTAAACGGAACTCGCCGCTGTCCACGCAAGCGAAACAAACTTCCTTCCAGGTGCGCGTCGAGTTGGCTTTGCGCGCACTATCAACGGCGCCTTGAAATTCCTTCAGATGAACGAGCGTTATCGCCAATCGCGCAAAGTTGGATACATTGTTGTAGAGGAGCTTCGCGGCATCATACATCTTATCGTCGAAGCATCTATCGCCGATCTGTGAGGAACAGGAAGAGATTAGAATCGATGAACATGCAATATCGCTCTCGAGATACGAATATGATTCTTTCTCACTTTTTGTATATCGGCATGATTCGGACCAGATATAAATTCCTCGAGATCCGCGAGCCGGTTGGTTCGCGCGTACGCATATATCAATTCGCTCTCGATGAAGGACTCGCGTGCCTTTTTACGAGCCATTTGGAGGACTAAGTTTTCCCATTGCGAAGTCCGATGCGCGGTTTCGACCACGCCTACATACGCTGATGGATCGTCTGTTTTGATAAAACTGTCGATTGATTCTTTGACCAGACCCTGCTGTAGCTGAGCTCTGGCGAGTTGCGACCATACTGGCGATTCGTTGCATCTACAATATGTAAAGCAATCTGTTTATATGAATCGTATAAACATCAAGAGGATATATGCACATGCATACACATATCGTATCGATTTGCATTTTGTCGCCTAGATTAAAAATTTAAATTTATCATTCTGAGACTAAAATTTATCTGATATTGAATAAACAAGATGTTGTTTCTTGGATAACTGTTGCCCTGTTGATTCGCGAAAAATTCTTTATTCAATCGTTTATTAGTTAAGATTAAAAGATTCATTATATTAATATTATGACATGTTATATTTACATTAATTTTTAATTGAATAAGACTTAAAAAACATAAAAAAAACATATAAAAAACGTCAAAATATTTTATTTTATTTCACAAAATATTGTGCAAAATAACTTTTCGAATTTTTTATCGAGAAATTCAAAATTATTTATCAATCGCGCCAATTTGTACAGAGATTGCGCATTGTCAATCTACATATGTGTATACATAAATATACACCTACGTACGTACATTAAAAAAAATCTAATTCGCAATTAGACAACAAACAATACCTGTTTAATGCTTGCACAGCGCCTGGAACAATTGTATCATCGATATGCAATGTTCCACTAAGGTCTATTGATACCGTCGTAATTTGTTTCGCCATTACACCTATTGCGTATAAAAATAAGAAATTAAAAATCGAAAAGTGATATTTTAGGTTGGTTTACTACTACGTACATATGCGCAAAGTTTGTTCTTTGACAGCTTTATGTCACATGCGCAGAAATTCGTAATGTCGTCTATCGTCAGAATTTAGAACATATGATCGAAACGTTAGAATTTAGAACGTTGAATAAATAAATTGAATTATTTGAAGTTACACGTGACAAAATATACTATGTCGCAACAAGAGAGTAAATATCTTGATATATAATAATACATCTAACAATGCAAATATATAATTCCTCTTTTCTCATTTAAATATTTAATATTAACCTCTTTTCTCTCATTTAAATATTATTTAATATTAACTTCTTTTCTCTCATTTAAATATTATTTAATATTAATCTCTTTTCTCTTATTTAAATATTAACCATTATTTTCAGAATTGTGCACGCCACTTCCTAGGACTCTAACTAGTCACATTAATATCTGTGCAAACAGTGAACAATATGTTTTTAATTTTTTGCAAAACTCGTTGCCACCATCTGACTGTAAATGCATTTCAGACGAAATGCGAAAGGTATGTTAGTAATGAGATAAAATGCTAAAGGATAATTACACCAATCGATTAACTAAAGTGTTATTCTTTCATGAAACTTTTCATACCTTTAATATTTAATTTTTTCAGACTTTTATATTCAATAAGTTCAAAGTAAAATGCAGAGGAAGACATACTCCCAAAGGCAAATTCTTATCAGCCAGGAAAAGATTACAGTTTGATCTAGGCAAGATTGGTAACAAGAGTCAAATAAAATATTCTGATCTCTTGCCCTTAAATCAATTGTGGTTAAACTATATGCGAACACTGCTTGGTGTTGAATCATTTACCAGTATACCTGAGAATTCCAATAATCCAAATTGGGAAAATGTAAGCCAGCAATTGATAAAAGCTGATCTTCATGGTGCTAAAATTTCAATTGACAAATCAAAATGTCCAACTCTGGTAGGAGTTACAGGGATTGTCATACAAGATACAAAAAACACTTTTAGGATTTGTGGGCTGGACAATGTTATTCGCAGTAAGTGACATTTTAAATACATTTCCAGATATATGTAATTTTCTTATAATAGAAAATAATTTATCTATTGTTATATTAGTGCAACAAATTCTTTGTAAAAATTTATAATTTTCTTCTATATTGTCAATAACACTTTATGGAATTTTTTTTCAGCAATACCAAAAGATGTGGTTAAAATTAATATTTACTTAGGCAATGGTGTAATATTAAAAGCCTTTGGACGACAACTTTCTATAAGACCTGTAGAACGAGCAGTTAAAAATATAAAAATACAAAAATAGTTCAATTGTAATATTTATAACATACTAATAAATACAATGCTATGCATTGTCCTCCACAGATGTACGAGTGATAAATTAACAAGAATTTCCATAAAGAAGTTAAATACTTGAAAAAATATGACAAAAATTAATTTATAGTATATATATATATATATATATATATATATATATATATATATAAAGTAACAATAATTTTTTGCTCAAGTTTGCTTAATTCCATGTAGATGTTTTAGAATTATTTATTTCCATATATCTTTCATTATTCCTTCTGCAGATTATTATTATAGAATATTACAATTACAGAATTGATAATATATATTTACTACTTACATGTTACAGTATTTATATAATATAGCATTTTATATTTATGTATAATGTCTGTATATGTGTGTATATATCTTTGCATGTATCTGTATGAAGAGATGTGCTAAACAATAATGTATTTATATTTTGGAAGTGTCTTTTTCATTCATAATTCCATTAAAACCACAGTGGCCAAACATGACACTGATATGGTGATAATTATTTTCAATTAGTACAACAACTATATTTGTTAGTTAATCTACAATTCCATTTGGCTAAATTTAGATCAGAGTGAAGTAGTACCAGGTCATGTTTTGCTTGACCTTTATTTGACATAACATTTTTATATGATATATACACAGCTGGATCACTGCAAGATCAACTGCGGAGTAGCAAAACGAAAGCTTTAAACAATAAAGATGAATAAAATGAGATGAGAGAAAACGTCATATATCTGCTCTTTTACTAATAGATAATACAAATTTTTACTTTGACATGGTAATAATGCGACTATTTCGTCACGATATAATAAACTTTCGTTTCGTACTTTAAAATAAAAAGACTACATATTATATAAACCATTAACGAGATTATATCACTAAATGATATAAATGTACGCAGCAGGGCAGCTTTAGGAATGTTAAAGGTAAGATGTATTACAAAATTAATATCTGTTTTTCTTCGTTTTCTGCCATGTCTCATGTATTGATCTTGATGCATCAATGTAGCACTTTATACACGCAACATAAATATTTTTAAAAACATGAGTGTAGCATAACAGATACAACATGGCTTTGTCATTTTCTAGAAGTATTGCAATCTAATTTATCTTAATACTTGCACAATTTAGGCAGAGTTTGTAACAAGCTATATAATGATTAACGATTAATAATTTCACATAAGATACTATGCACACATACTACATGAAATCGAAACGAGTAGAAAATATTACTAAAACGTATGTACGACGTGATAGAGACGATCTCGTGGGTGTATTATACTTTGTTCCGATTCTTAAATATTTTTATATATATATATATATATATATATATATATATATATATATATCCAACTCTAATCATAACTGTTTTCACTATAGTGAATAACAAAAGGTCGAAAGCATGATACATACGAAGATCGGGCAAAAAACTCAAACTACTTTATATATTTCGATACATTAATAAGACAATAAGATCTTGCCATGCGTTTTAGTATCTATAATTCATTTATTTTTGTGTCGTTCGTTTACGCAAATTAAACTAACTGCGAACATGTACCTCTGTTCAAGCAAATATACACATAAGTAGATCTAGAACAATGTGTATGTACTATAGACGCCAACATATTCCAAAATGTCTACAGATTTTTTTCATTTTTTGAAGGATCTGGTCTCATTATAACGTCACAATATCGTTATAATGATACACGATCTATCAAATTTAAAAGATATTTTTGTTACATTTCAATTTTATGAGGACACTCGTTATTTTCATTATGATTTACCACACGCTATGACGTCTATTTCTAAGATGTAAACTTCTTACAATGAGTTGTTGCAGATTTTCGACAAAAAATTAACTTTCAAAATTAGAAACTTCTTAACATAGATGAGGATATTTGAAAAAAATTTACTTAAAATAAAAAATACTCTAATTTGAAGAAGAATTCGTGATTTAAAGGAACTCATGATTTAAGATCTACAGTTGATTTTGCTTTTTTAGAATTCGATATCGTCGAAAAAAGTTTGCTTTTCATTAATAGTCAAAAGAAAGGTACGTAGACACATGTACATATATATATATATGTATGTGCGAGCAAAGGGAACTGCAAAATTATATCTTTACATACAACATATATATGTATATATAATATCTTTTTATACTGACTGTGCAACAAGTAAATAGAAAAATCTCAGCATCACATTAACAAAGAAAGAAAAAATTTTTTTTTTTTTTTTTTTTTGAAAATTAAATATAGTTTTTACATGATCTCTAATTCAAATAATGATTTAAACTGTGAAATATAACAATTTCGTTCGACGTCTCTCCCTTATAAACGACAATAATTCACATTTAGATAGCGTGTGATAGCTTTCTCCTAATATATTTCGTTATTATTTGTTACATTATTCGTAATCATGATTTCTAAACGTGGCAATTTCTTCGTGTTTCTAATGATATTATAATTCGTATTCGCGCTTTATTGATACGATATATTAATAAGCTAACCAAACAATATATCTCATTCTACCTAAACTTTATAGAAAAGTAGACTTTGTTGATCTGTCCTGTTTAATGTATTTCACATACCGTAACCTTGATAGGCTGCGGTGGACGCGTACACTTGTGCGGGTGCACCGTATACATTTTGAGGTGCATAGCCGGGTGCCATCATTCCAGGCCCTGCGGTCAACATTAGCTGAGGTTCCGCTGTAGTTCCACAATCATATGCAACAAAGAAAAATATCGTTAGTATAGAAAACACTACACGTATAGGGTATCTCTTCACGATATTAGGGTGAAATAATTGAGATTACTCACGCATAATCATAGGCTTATGTTCCTGATGATCGGTTTCTTCAATGCGTCGACTTTCGGCCTCTTCTAATTTATCGACCTACGTACAATATCAAAAATTATATGAATGTCAGTGAAGGATATAAAGAGTTAAATATGTATGGCTGGATTTCTTTTTGTTTTACCTTAGTAATATATTCCCGTGCAACTTGTATGAGATACGGCATCGCGAAATGTAAAATACGATGTCTCCATGCGAGTTCCAAGATGACATCCGGATGAAGTAGATCGTAGCAATGAAATAGGCATGCTGCGAAACAGTCCTTGGAACCTCTCTCTAAGAACCACTCGAGTAACTCCTCGGCGACTTCCGCATTCCGCGATTCCGCCGCGTATTCCATAGCATCCCTGTTATTAAATTAGCGATTAAAAGAGATCCGCATTTGTATATACATTTAACGTACTCCATACAACATTACCTGAAAAGTCGATCCTTCTTACAAAGTTCTACAGACTGCTTCCATCTATTATTTCCCTTGTACAAATATGCGGCGATTCTCCTGAATTCGATCAATTCATGTTTCTCGAGTTGCTGCGCTAACGCAATATTATCAAAATTATCGAACGCATCGATCGACGTTCGGAGACCCTGGTAATCCTCTTCGTCAATCAGCAAGCCATTTAACGCTTCATTGATAGCTTTGTTGTTGAGAGCCTGAACCGATCTCAAATATGGTTTCACTAGCTGTAAGTGACCGGTTCTCGTAAAGTACGCCACTGATCTGGTATGATCCATACGCGGAGCAAGTACGAGCAGAATATCATTTAGAAGAAGGGGTTTATATTCCACGTAGAACTGTATAGCCTTATAGTAGAGTTCGACGTTTGCGACTTTAGTAATTACGTCCTTGAAGTGACCCTCTCGCCAAGCTTCCGTAGGATGTTGCATCATCGCGAGAACCGCGTTATCGTATTCCTCATACTTGTCATATAAAAACACCAGCTCGGCCCATAGATGTGCTTGTTCTGCCGCGCGTAGCACCTAAAATAAACAACTCTTAAGTAACCAGCTAAGCCTATCTCCTATTCGGAAAACAGTTTGAAATTTGCTACGATCTACCTTCGGTATATTAACGCGTGACCAGAAGAGTTCCAAGTGTTCTCTCATTCGTTGAGGCTTATATTTACTATAGAGAATAGCCAGCTCGGTAAACATTCCCATATGAGCTCGTTCGAGTCCTAAAGCAGCTTCAAGAAGATTAATGAGTTCCTCAAAGTGTCCGCGATCCTGGTAGTAATTGATCAGATCCTCGAGCTCATCCGCATGCACGACTATGTGCAGACCGCACATTTGGGCTAAACGGAACTCGCCGCTGTCCACGCAAGCGAAACAAACTTCTTTCCAGGTGCGCGTCGAATTGGCTTTGCGCGCACTATCAACGGCGCCTTGAAATTCCTTCAGATGAACGAGCGTTATCGCCAATCGCGCAAAGTTGGATACATTGTTGTAGAGGAGCTTCGCGGCATCATACATCTTATCGTCGAAGCATCTATCGCCGATCTGTGAGGAACAGGAAGAGATTAGAATCGATGAACATGCAATATCGCTCTCGAGATACGAATATGATTCTTTCTTACTTTTTGTATATCGGCATGATTCGGACCAGATATAAATTCCTCGAGATCCGCGAGCCGGTTGGTTCGCGCGTACGCATATATCAATTCGCTCTCGATGAAGGACTCGCGTGCCTTTTTACGAGCCATTTGGAGATAGCGAACTAAGTCTTCCCAATGCGAAGTCCGATGCGCGGTTTCGACCACGTCTACATACGCTGATGGATCGTCTGCTTTGATAAAACTGTCGATTGATTCTTTGACCAAACCCTGCTGTAGCTGAGCTCTGGCGAGTTGCGACCATACTGGCGACTCGTTGCATCTACAATATGTAAAGCAATCTGTTTATATGAATCGTATAAACATCAAGAGGATATATGCACATGCATACACATATCGTATACCTTTCTGCAAATTCATAAGCTCTGTCCAAGTTGCCGACCTGCTCGATTAGAACCTGGATAGCTGACGTGTTGACATCAAACTTCTTGAAGATAGCGAAAGCTTCCTCGTAGAGCTCGTTGTTAATGGCAATATTGGCAATATCCGGAGCGTCATAATTATCCAAACGATTAATATACTCCATAACACGTGTACGATCAGCTTTGATGGCCGTCAGTATCAAAAGATTCTGCAAGTTACGATGATCGCTGAACACACTGCTGTCCAGCACTATCTTCTCGAGAAGTTCGATCAGCTCGTTAGGCAAATCGGCTGTCATGAAAGCCTTGACAGTGACAGATATATCTTCGGGATCTTGCGTCTCGGATAACGCCGTCTGAACAACTTGATCTATCAAAGGTCGCTTGTATGGATTGCTCTCCAAAAGCACTTCCGCCCAAAGATCGGGATCTCTGCGTCTCACTAGGTATCTCGCCTCGCTCTTGAATAGACTATTCTCGTTGCAGACGCTTATCAGCTCGCGATCACACTGGCCACGCTCGTATGCGATGCAAGCCAGGTGAGGATCGCGTTTCTCGCAATACTTGCCGACGACTCTGCTGTCATAGAATTGATTCTCCTTGAGGAATCTTTCAGGGTTATTGTTGCTGTCGATGTAAATCTTGGCCAGTGCGTTGTGCGTAGCGGGCTCCACGCAACCCTCATGAACGCGAGATTCCAGCCACGGTAGCAAGAGTTTCAGTCGATTTCTCTTCTCGACTTCCTCGACCAATTCGTCGGTTGAAAATTGTCCACGCACCACCAGTATCAAGTTCTTAATGATATCTTCCGAGCAATCAACGTCCAACAGACCGCCCACGACCACGGGTAAACGCGATGGATTGACTTTTTGGACATATATCTCGATGTATTTCTGCAAGTTATTGCGATAGAGATAAAGAACGAGATCGTGAACGAAATCGAATCGGTCGCATACGATGATCAAGGGCAATTGATCAGACAGTTTCGCTTCTTTCAGGAAATTTTTGACGCGTTCCGGATTGTAACAATTACTTTCTCGACATATGCGCTCCACCTCCTTGATCTGACCGGTCTTGCACGCCGCTTGGATATACTTGAAGTGCACTTCTTGATCCTGGCTGAAGTTTACGATGGAGCCTAAGAAGTAAAATAGACCCTCGTAAGACTTGAAACTTTCGAATAGATCTATCAGTGCTTTAGTCGTCAACTGCTCGTGATATTTGGTCGCGATCTGTATGCAGATTTGCAAATTCTGTCTTATGTTGGCTGTCAGCATAGCCTTCAAGCATTCAAGGGAATCTTCTACGGACAAAGTCCCGAAGAAACCAACGAGCCAGTCGGGGGAGAGTAAGTGCGTATGCACTACCGCTCTCTTAATGTCATACAAATCAGTATAATGTTCGAGTGCACGTTGTAGCAAGCCAGCTTTCTCGCACAATTGGGCGACATGAGCTCGATCGTAATGAGTAAACATCTGATTGCCTAATATGGCGTCAGCGACTTGCGGGGCGGACATTAAATTCATCTCTAAGAGGCGGGTTTGTAAGGCACCCTCGCTCGGCCGATTGTTCTTGAGAGCGTCCAGAAGAAATGCCGTACACTGCTGCACCATGTTTTGTTCCATAAATATATCGACGATTTGATTGATGTCGGCTAATGGTTCGTCGTCTTGGACCAGCATCTGCGCGAACGTTACACCTTGATCGGGATTAATCCTCATGACGTTACGCAAGAGAAATATATAATCAGGTGTATACGAGACTTTCTTGGCATAGAGAACGATCTTCTGAAATTGGCCAGTCTCCGCAAAGCATTGGATGACCTTGTTGGGAACATTGGCTCTCAGGTAAACGCTAAGCGCCAATGTAGGATCCGCCTGTTTTACTAGATCTCCCAGTTCTTCACTGCATTCCAGCTTATCTTCCTTCAGCCACTTCTCCAGCAATTGTTTACGATTCTGAACTAGCACCGGACGACAGAGTTCCAACGATTCGTACTTGTTCAATTGTCCCTGATCCAAAAGAATGCCGAAATATTGTAGAAGAGGAGAGGTTTGGCCCTGAGTAGTTGGGACCTGTTGAAATCGTTGAATAGTCGCTGGTGTTCGAAGTATCCCTTTAGGAGCATTAGCCGCAACTTTTGCCGCCTCCGCATACTGGCCATTCTGGAAAAGCATATTAAATTTCCTTACGAACAAGTCCTCGGCTCCCGATAAGTTGTTTCTCACGGCCATTCTTAACGCCAATTCCGAGTTCTGCAATACTCCGTTGATGTATGGGATTATATTCTCTTCGTCCACAGAAACAGACAAGACTTGACCCTTTCGATTTACTCCTATTATACCACCAGAGGCCTCGTGCGGGGCAGTGACGAAGATGGTCTCTCCCGAGATACGATTCATAAATATACAGGTCGCCGACTCGATATCGTACATATGTATATAACCGTACTTTGTGATTAAATATATGACGTCGTACTTGGAGCTAACTTGCATAGCGACAGGAAAATCATTTCCGGCCTCAGGTGGAAAGAATACATCTACCGCTTTCTTCGGAAACGGATGATTGCCGGCAGGTGGTTGACCCACTTCGATAATATGAAGCTTCGCTCCTTGGACCGTCCTAACGGCGAAACAGAACAGATTGCTGGGTTCCGCGTTTCCTTCCATTTTGAACTGAGCGAAGGAGGCAGCATGTCCCTCGATCGGTTGCGAGCACTTTCGTTCCACGGAATAAAGCTGCATAGCGCCGACCACTCTGTTATGCTGCGCCGAAATACCGATCAATAATAGCCACGTCTGTTTCGGATCTGTCCTGTAATTGATAATCTGGCAGCCGTTTAACGACGAATGACGTTCGAACATCTTATTCGGCGTCGAATCGCCCTCCATAGACCAATGATACACTGCAGTTTCCGTTACTAGTGCCAATGTGTTCAGCGATATCCATTTCCAGAAGACCACATCTTCCGTCATTGTATGAGCCTTCATTTTTGACTTCATTTCAATGTTGAAAATCTGAAGTGTCTTCATAGCTAATTAAACAAAAGCAGATATTTCTCTCTTGGTAAATTATATATATATATATATATATATATATATATATATATATCGTTCTTTTAATACTTTCATTGCTATAGAAAGAATTACAAAATTCTACATCGAGGTTCTACATATTTTTAGGGAAAATCATATCATCATATTATTTTTCAGACTAATAAAGCAAAATTAATTTATATAATTTATTAAATAAATATATTTTAAATTAATTTATTATCTCCACATGTATGATCTTATATTGCTGAATGATCTTTCCTAAATTATCAAACATGTTTACATGTGCACATACCTTTCAAAGCGATGACTTTACTAGCTGGATTCATAATAGCAGAATCAGCAGATATCGGTCTTCTGATGGGATTGGCGGAATCATTCATATCGATAATGACTACCTGGGCAGTGTCACCAACCTTTTCTCTAACGCAAATGAATTTATCAGATTCCATAGTAAGTGTGTTAAAGCTGACATTACTGGCATTAATACCCACAGCTGTAAGCTATAAAAACAAAGAATAATAGATGAGTAAAGCTTCTTTGTTTTCTCATATTCTTTAAACTTTTAGGATCATTTGTGTGCATAAGTAAGAATATATAAATATAAATACATAGTCAATTTTATATCATTTTTTTGAAAAAGTACTCATTACATCACAAACTAACTTTATTAATAAATAATGTATTCTTTTATTTATTAAAAAGAGTATATGAACCTATACTTTTTCTCAAATGATAAATGAGTCATATTGTAACGTCTTGATTATTAGTTATATAAATACACTATTATTAATCACAAAATATATCTATCATCACAAAATTGCAATAAAATATGCATAAAAAAGTTAATTTTATAATGTCATAACATTCCAGCAATATCGTATTGTAATTTTAACAGCTGCATGTTACTAAAAATGCATTTTTAAAAGTATTACATATAAAATACTACGAGGATTTATATTCTGCAGTTATATTTCTTACATTTGACAGGAAAAAAATCAATATTATTACGAATATTATTTATCGAACGAATGAGATAGAAAATGATGGAACAAGAAGAAAAAAAAATATATATATATATTCGATAAGGAACGTGAAGTTTCGGGTAAAAGCGGAAGCAAGGGGCGTATGCGAGCGACGACAGATCCAGCGATAGTCTCGGATCCCCACGATTCGCTGATGAAACGAGAAGTACGTAACTCGATTTGTCCGCTTTAGCCGCGATACACGTCAATTGAGCGTGCATCAGGGATGATTAACCTGTGCCACGAAATCTCGAGAGCAGCTGCCATTTAACGAGTCGAGTAATGTCATTGAATCGTGAACGCGAGGTGTACGAGGTCATCGCGGCTGTCAAAAGTAATGTCAAAAAGAAATTGCGTTTTTATCAAGGGAGAAATAATAAGCCATCGCGATATTCGACTCGAGAAATATGTTGCTCGCCGAGAAAATGTCCGGTGCCCCGAGAAAGAAAAAAAGGCTAGTTCCTAGCGGATCCCCCAGCGATGACACGAGTCCCCTTCGTAGCGAAAGGAGAGAAACCTTAGCCAGGAGATACATTGATGACGTACCTGTAGGTGTTCTTGGAACCTTATGGGTAGTAGCTGCGTCATTTTTGCCGAATTATATTGGAAAAACTCGTCGAGAACCGAGAGATCTTTCGGCCGCTGTCCTCTTCCGCAAGATCGATATCAGCCGTGGACGGGCGCAGAAAAAAAACCTCCGGACTAGCGATCTCTACTTACGTCCTATTCCCCGCTTATCGTGTCGCCTTTTATCCCCGAATGCTCGGCATCAATCATTAAAAGCGCAAAACCAACTGACTGGAGAGCGAATGCTACTCGCCGCTGACACCCATCATGGCCGCCAACGCCGCCCCTCTTGTCTCGAAGTAGTTCCCGCGTATGAGAATTTCACGGCGGTTCTTCGTCCTTCGAAAGTGCCTCGCGTCTTTCGGAACCTGCAGGAAATATATATCGGCGCTCGATCGTCGATCGACACCGGTATTCCTTTTTTTGGATGACCTCTCTTGACAATTTCGAGCGCCTTGACGCCGAACCTCGACTGGAGCCTCTCACTAGCGGAAGAATACAGGCGCGATTTGACACGATTGGATTGTCAGTGGTAAATTCTCGCGCATCACCCCCTTCCCCTTCCCTTCCGCCTGCCTGCGCCGCTGCTACGAATGAGACCGCGACGAGTGCGTGATGACGTTTCACACACGGTGGATTAGAAAAATTCCCCTCCTCGTTTATTCTTCTCCTTTCTCTAATTCAGATTTCCTTCGGTGTATTAAAGGTTATCGTCGTTGCGTGTAATCTTGTATGCATTTTTATCGTATTACTGTTCGCGCAAGAGACAAAGGATAATCTAAGGAACAGATGTGTGAAATTAAATACAAATTTTTTTTCTCCAGCAGCTTTATTCTCTAGCAGTAGTAAATTTTAATTTGTAATTTTTATACAATTATACCACCACTGCCACAGAATGCAGCGTACTTCTTTTGACGATAAAAAAAAAGGCATTTTTAGTCAAACAGGCCAAAACCCATGTCATCGTCTTCCGATTCAGATTCTTCTTTAGCAGGCTTCTTTTCTTCTGTTAAAATAAATTTTTATTTATGAATAAAAATTATTTGTGGTTACTTACTTTTATTTACTAACTTACTAATGTATTAAAATTATATTAATACAAATATTAGACTTTAAAATAAAATTAAAAAATGAACTTAGAGCATAAATAAAATGTACCTTTCTTTTCCTCAACAGGAGCAGCCGCACCACTGGCAGGGGCTGCAGCAGCACCTGTAGCAACTGCTCCACCAACTGGCATGGAGGACAATTTTTCTCTGCCTAAAATTATACAATTGTATTTAGTTTGCGTTATAGAAAAATAAAATATACATTCTTTTAAATAAAATAGATATTGCAAGATAATGCATAGACATACCCTTAGCAATCAATTCATCGATGCTCTTTCCATTCAATTCTGATATAACTTTCTTCAGTTTTTCAGCATCTGTCTCGATTCCAACTGATGATAAAATCTTTTCAATGTCATTTTGGCTTGGCGAGGCTTTGCCCCCCAATACAGCCAACATATAAGCGGCCACGTAACGCATTCTGCAAAATATATTTTTCTTAAACTAACAATAGAATTTGTATAACATAATTATTCTAAATGCTAATTAAGCTCAGTAGAAGATACATCGTCACAATCATTCAGGCGAAAGATGGTATGATATAAATCATCATGAAAGAATAGATTTTAAATATATATCTAATATTACCAAATGTTATAATATACATGTTTTATGTATATATATAAAGTAGCATTCGCAGAAAACGTGATAATTGATATATTTCGTATTTTATATATACACAGTTATATGCACATGTGGTATTTATACTCTAATAATATAACCTATTGTTATCGGCGAATGTGAGAAACCGAATTTTTATATCAAATGTTTTTATCATTTTTTCAGACAAATATAAAGAAAGAGAAAAGTAAAAATAACGATTACATGTAACTTTACATATATTTATACGCTAGTTTTCATCGCACGAATGCGATGCACGCGAAGATATCCAACGATACGAGGAATTATAAAATGCAATCGAACAAATAACGTCAATTATTTCGATCCATCAATGTTCGATTAATTTAAAGCAGGAAATATTATTTTCTTATGTAAAATGAATTTACCTTTAAGTCTTACGACACGAAACGTGAGCTTCGCCAACAGAGCAATGTACAACGTGCACGAGTTGGCAGCGGAAGAACGCAAGAACGAGAAACCAGGAGAAACTAGTCGACAAAGAAGGTGCACTCTACCCCTAGTTTGCGGATTCGCTTTGAAGCGTTTGATTGGATGAACGGAATGAAAATGGCATCCATGGCGCATGCGCAAAAATGGCGTCTTTCTTGCGTCCTTCTTCAGCAACACGTGGTCGCCGACGACTTGTTGGTGACCACGTGTACGTATTAAAAAATTTAAATAAATATTTCCATTTTTTATCGCATGATATATGTAGAGAATTTAATTTCCATATTAGAATAATCTGTTAAAAAAAAATATATATATATATAATTGGATCGAAAAATGTTATATATTTTATAAAGAAAATGTTTTATTCTGAATTATTCAAATATCGATGAAGAAAAATAATTAATATTCGCTTCTTAAAATAAATATGTATTTAATTTCTGTTTATTACATTTATAATTCTTTTTAAAATTTTTAACTTTAAATTAACTTTTAACTTTACATCTATATTCTTTTTAAAATTTGACTTTACAGCTATATTCTTTTAAAAATTTTTAACTTTAAATTTTTTGTACATTTATACTCTTCTCTTTATATAATAATTTCATAATTGGTTTTTTTAATTGTGATTATTTGTTCAGTTGATTTCATAGATTTCCACTCTATTAATTATTCTAATTTTATTTTCTATTAATATATATAATTTTTCTGTGTTTAAAGGAATATATATATATATATATATATATATTTCTTTTCACAATTTTTTTGGAGATTATTTTATTATATTTAAATGTAAAGAATTATATTTAACTTGTCTTTTGATTTATTCTCAGTTGATTTATATTTTTATACCTTCTATAGGCTTCTTTTGCACATTTGTAAGTTATATTGTTGTACAACATCTTGTATATATGTATATAGTTTTATTTGCTATAAGAATATAATGTAATTATATATTGTTTTAATTTTAACTATATATATATATATATATATATATATATATATATATTCTGTGATAATTATAGATAAAAACAAGTTTGCAATAATTATATCTATGATGAGAGGCTATTAGACAATGTATGTAAGGAAGTATTGTTAAAATTATATATATACAAAAAGTATTTAAATGTAAAAAATTATACTTTACATTTTACATAGATAAAATATGTCTACCATTTTTTAAAACTATTCTTTGTATTATAAATTAATTACAATACAATCTTTAAAGATGTATACTTTTTAGCAGTAAATTACATCTTCCGTCTTCCATATGCGCACACACAGAAAAGTCTTTATATATATATATATTAACTATGCAGTAGAAAAGTATGTGTGTATTTGTTTAATATCTTATATACAATATTACAAAGATATAGATTATTAATCAATATCATAACTACTTAAATATCCTAATTATTGTTCATGTTTAATGACATCATATAATATTCTATATAATACTTAATATTTAATGTATAATTGCTTAAATATATGTAACTATCATAAACTAATATATTCTAAGATTGGTATTAAACCAAATGTCAAATATATGCTCTCACATAACATTCAAATATTGAAATAATTGCATCTCTTTTTTTGAAGTGTTTTTTTATAAATTATATACGAAAATGTAACAAAAAAATGCAATATATAAAATCTACAGAAACTAATATTATTGAAATTGAGTGTGTTGTAACAGGGTTAAAAATCCATAAGAGTAATATTCTATAAAAACAGTACAATCAGAAAGATATATTTACCTTAGAGAGAACATTAAGCCTACTGTTATATGTTAGGTAGGAAATGCTGAGAATTAAATATTATTATATATATTTTGAATATTGTTAATCATATTTGTTATGAAGTATATATGTATATACACACATATAATAAATCAATGCCTTTGAAAAAGACACTAAAATTAATAACTTTTAAACAATCATTGTAATTGTATATGTCATATTGTAATACTATATAATTTGAATCTTTCATTCAAGATACATAAATTCATTGCTGTTTTTGATGTAATCATTTAAATCATATTCGTTAATTCATTACTTGGTGTACTTAGTTTAAATTCTAGAAAACTAATTATATTTATATATTTATATAATTATAATTATATAATTATATTTTATTTGTTTAGTACTTTTCTAAATGTATAAGAACACAGAGAATACATAAAGTGTTTGCTAGGTCAAATACGGCAAGTTTATATTTTAACAATATTTCTATTCAATTTACTAAAACAAATATTTCGACGAGGTATCGTCAAAATATATAGATAAAGAGATACTAACAGTATTCAAAATACATATAAATGTTTAATACCTTCTTTATATGGTTGTGCGACTCTCTTATTTGTAAACAAAATATTATCTAATATTTCCTTACTTTAGTTTATATGTACATTATATTATTGTCTCTATTTCTCTCTCTTTCTTTCTCTGTGCAAGTCTATGGATCTTTATTTGTCAGAAAAATTCAATCTATCCTCTTCGTCAAATATTGATCCATCATCAGATAATTCGTGCTCCTCGTTCATTAAAATATACTTTGCTTGCGCTTTACAGTCACGTTCCTTTTTATGCGATTTTTTAATAGAAATTGTATGGAACCTTTTGACGAAATTTGTTACATTCGAATTATTTGGTGGTGTTGTATTCAGTATTGATTTTTAACAGTTCTCACATCAATACTGTCTCTCGCTTGACTCGTAGATGGTAGAGAATCGTCGTAAATAATTTCCTCATAACATTTGCTCTTCTCTCCTTCATCACTCGTATTACTGCACATTCCCGTTTTAGAAAATTCATTGTCAACATCTATATGTTTTAAGGATGTATATTGTTTTAACATACTTGTAAAATTGACATTTCCAGTTTCTTCGATATTCGATTTATTCTTCGACAAAACTCGTCTCTTGCATATATTGCGACTATGCTTATCTTTCTTATGCGATTTTTTAATAGAATCTATATTACAAAGTACTTCTGTCGTTGACATATTTATTGGAGTTGATCTACCAGTTTCGCCTCTTGGATCTGCAATATTCACTGGTCCATCTCTCGAAACAGATGCATCAGTCTCAAGTATTTTGATAAAATATGAAAGATCTTCGTTTTCTCGCTGTTTTTTCGAACGTGAAACTGGTGTCACACATCTGGAACAATTGATTTCCTTTGATGACGTTTGTATAGGTTCATCTTTTTCTTGTGACATTCCATCTGCATAAATATCATTTGTGACTGCAAACCGGCTTACTTTTCTAGTAGGAGTATGAATTTTAAATTCATCATTTGTGTTGTTAATTTCAAGAGATCTTAAAGCTGACGATTTGGAAGAATGTAACTTGCGTACATCACTTTCAAAGGACACACTCATTGACTTTTTCTTCTTTTTGGGTGATACATCAAAAGATTCATTTAACTCAAGTGACTCATTTCCATGTAAAGTTTTGCTAGTATTCCTTTCGTCGTCTCTATCATCTTGTAATGAATTGTCATATCTTTTACGATACTCATGATATTTATGGCATTTGGCAAGACCAGAAATTCTTTTACTGTACTTGTCTTTTTTGTGTGACTTTTTAACCGATTTAAATTCAGGTAGTAAGAGTCTGCTTGAATTTACGTTTTCAGGTGTACTCGGCCGATCAGCATTGTGTGAACTTAACATGCAAATTGCCAGAGCTGCTTCATTTTCCACATCTTTACATTGTTCATCATTAAAAGTATCTTGAGCTGATACTTCAAGTGTTTTCTTGGCTTTTATTTTAGTTTTTCTATTTTCATGTTTTATCTTCTTATGGGATTTTTTAATCGATTCTGTGAATATATGCTCTAAAATATTTATATTATTTTCAGGTGTAACTGCTCCATTAGAAGCTTGAGAAACAGTGCGTTCTGGAGATACTGCTCTGTTTCCATCCATCACGTTGACATTACAAATATTTGACGATTTTTCTTGCTGAGATAACTGAAATATATTCTTAATGCAATTGTTTTTCACAGAATGGTCTACTTCTTTATCATCACTACTTGTGAAATGTGTATTATCTCTCTGTTGTATATTTTCTTCACACCTTTCACAATCGCTAGAATCGATGTTTTGTATTTTATTATTTCCCATTTCGTCCAATGCATTTATGAAAAAATCATTTTCTCTTGATGTAACTTTTTCTTGTGAACTACATCCAGAAACTAATCCAGTGTGAGAAAGATCATTGTCAGAATCATAAATAAGCGTTTTCTTAATTTTTCTGTTCTTCCTCTGAGGTTCCTTTACAAAAGATGTACTGCAACCAGCAATTGCAGATGTATCTACTCTTGATTCCAACATACTTGTATGTGTGTCTTCGTTTCTTGCAGGAATATTTTTCTGCAGTGTAAATAATCGTTCTTCATAACCATGCAGTTTCTCCTGTTAAAATAAAAATGTTAATATATCTATTATACACAATACTATAAGTATATATTATACTTTAGAATTAACAGAAATTATAAACATAAGCTACTTATAAAATTTGGAATTTTTTCTTATAAAATAAAAATTTCAAAAAGCTTATTTTTCAAATATTTTGTAAATATTTTCCAAATTTCAACGTTTGACATTGATAATAATTAGGACTTATCTACAGTGAGAAATATATACTTGTACATATTAATTTTCATATGAAGACCTTATTAATAGTTTGTATATAAAATTATTAGTTTGATTTATTTCTGTCAACATAAAACAGATTATTCATTCTTTTTATGAGTTCTATAATTAAATGTATCAATTTATTGCTGCTCATGATGTGCAATTATGAAAAATACATCAAATATATATGCATATATATAAAATACATATGTGTATATATACCCAGTATATTATTGTGTATGCATATAGTTATAAAGACACATAAAATATTGCTCAATATATATTGATTTCTGAAAAAAAATTATAAATCTAATATTTACATTTATATATTTAATTTTAGCAAAGTGATAATTAAATAAATAGTTGTGTAATATATGTATAGACATATATATATATATATACACACATGCATATTCACATAAAATAATTTAAAAATGACAAAAATGGAAGAGAAAAGAAAATTGTAATATTGTATAAATTAAATACCTTTTTATGACTCTTCTTAATAGCACTCATACTTTCTGGAATTAAATCTATCATGTTGTCAGGCGTATACGATCTATTATGTGTATCCTGATTGAATTCCTGGAACAAATTCCTTGGTGTGCTTGCAACTATAACATTGCCGAATGCTTCTGATCTATTCTTCTTTAAGGAATGTAAATCAGGTGTTTGTGATGTTTGTAGAATATTGTCAATTTTTTCTTTGAGATTGCTTCGAAGTGATGATGTAGAACTAGAAGAACCTGACTCATTTGCATTCTTTTCTGTATTAATTCTTCTATTCTTGCTTGACATTTTAGCAATTTTTCGATTTTGCTGAGGCGTTTGATTTTGATTTTCATCAATTGACTCCAAAGATGCCAAAATGCTACTGGTGGCAGAATCATTTGAACTTGAATCAAGTCTCAAAGGTTTGTCCAATATGGGTGATGATGTATCAGTAATTGAATCAGTAGGAGAATTTATATCAAAGGTGTTGATTTTCTGTGGACTTGGAGATGAATCAAAATTCAATGATTTTTTTATATTCATGTTTCTAGGACAAAACGAATCAGGCTTGAAATGAAGTGCTCTCATTATTTTAGCCGATCTGGATAAGTCTCGCAATGACTTGGTTGTCTCAAAAGAATTATTGTCTAAATATGAATGTGGATGTTTTGACAAATTATCTTTTCTTGGACTAATAACATCAAAGTTCAAAGATCTATTCATTTTATGACGAGACAAATGTGTACTTCTTAGTGGAACTGATTTACTGAGCATTCTGGGTGATCTAAATCGTTTCCAAAAAAATCTACTTTTATCCAATGGAGTCAAATTTACAATCCCTTTATGTTGTGATTCTGAATCCATTTTTTATTATCTTTATTGTTACTATTCGTTTTGCTAATCACTGCTTCTGCAACATGATTATCTATATCCTCTATTCAATGTATATGTGATGCATTTATGTCAAGTAATAGACATATACATATATATGTATATATAAATGTATAATTATATCATGTAGAAGTTGGTGATAATCTTTTTATAAAGATTATATATGCATATTCCTTTTTGTTTAAATTTCTGAAATAAATAAAAATTATTTATAGAAAACAATGCATAAATTATTCTTGCTGCCTATGTATAATTATTTAATAATCTAACTTTAGGTTACAATGATAAGAGATATCTTAGATTGCAATATATTTTCATATAATTAAAAGATTTAAGTTCCTGTAGTATTATTAACAGTACTATTTGTTATATTTATATTGTTCATTATATGGCAAAATAGATGCTTGAAAAATTTTAATAAAATAATAAATAATAATAAAAAATTTAATAGAATTTACATGTATACCAAGAGTTAGCACACATTGTGAATGTGTGTGTATATAGTATAAAAAAAAGAGATAAAAATATAGGAAAAAAAGGAAAAGAAACAAAAAGGGGCAAAAGAAGGATGAAGAAAGAAAGAGAGAGAGAAATGTGAGAAACGTAAGAACGCGAAAAAGAAATGAAACATCGCGAAAAATACGGAACATTCACAAATATTTGCTTACGATTTTGACCGCATGTATGAAATAGACTCTTCATCATTAATGGCTGGCAGAGAAGTAAAATCCAGTTAACGAATTACTCTCGTAAATCACTCAAACCTCCTCGTTGCTTCACTCAACTGTAGCGTGTTTCATGAAATTCGAATATCCACGTATTCAACGAAATGTAATCCCTCTGACAATCAATTACACCAGGACTTTAATCAAGACCAAGACTCGATCACGTACGCAACGTAGCCCTTTTACGATCCTTCATGATCCTTGCTCATATCCTGTGATAGAAGGGAAAAATTCGACGAGATTTGGACACAGCTCTTCATAGGATGAATATCACGATCGGCCAATCAGAGAGTTCCGTGTTTAATTGACCAATAAAGTATTGTCAAATATAATAAATAAATATTATAACACACATTATTTAATTTGATGCATATTTAATAATAAATATTTTTTTATTACTTCCTTTTATTCCAAAGATTTCACAAAATATTTTATCAACTCCACAAAAATATGATTACGGTTTGTGAAGAGCAAAAAAAAACCAATGCACAATCTACATATCATCATATCTATGACTGTGGCGTAATTTGTTACTAGCTCCAAGCAGAACATAATATACGAAGAACTATACAAGTTTACGAAACGCACAGGAGTCAAGATATAGATTCTAGAAATTAACCAATTGAGTATTGAAGAGACATAGAAAAAAAAAAAAAAAAAAAAAGACTGAAGCCTGTCTAATCATAATTGTCTAAAAATGGTGTATGAGCTTTTATAGCTCCAGTCAAACAAGAAGAAGAAGAATTTGTTACTAGACGCGCTAGAAGCCGATTGGTCGGCTCCAGGAAAATGGGGGATCGGTGGTTTCCGGTGGAAGAAGTCGAGGAGGTTCATTCCGAGCAAGATATCTCACATTTTCCCTCGGCTTCTTCAGTATATCGTTTGTGCTTTGTTCTCTTCGGTGATCCGCGACGAGAGTTGTTTAGAGAGGCGCGATAGAGAAAGAGAGAGAGAGGATTCGCGGCGCACGACGTCTGAGATTCCGATACTCGGACGGGTGCAGCCTGTCGTACGCCGCCCTGGAGGAAACGATTGAGTGTCCGGACACGGCTCTCGTGCACGTTAATTCTGCGGGTGACGCCGGCCGCCTTGGAGAGCCTCGGAGTGTCGAGATCTCCTGAGGCCCCTAAGGGCAGAGTAACGCGTGATCAAGGTAAGAGGTTCTACGATGACACTCGGTACGGGCAGGATATCGAAATGCGATCCATGCTTCGTAAAAGTTGCAACGAACAAAATTACGACACGACTATCACTGTCCCTATCTATCTCGCAGTCTTGATCGCAGTATAGTATTGACGTCGTCGTCGTTATCGTTTGATTAACCTCTTCTAGCTCTCCATCTTTCTTTAGTTGGAGATAATATCTATCAGTTGTTTCTTTCTTGAACGAGGAAGAGGAATTTATTCATTTCTTGAGCCACTTTTTCATGTATGTTTTATATAATGCGTCTTCCAAAAATAAGAATTTACAAAATATAGATGATAATGATAATTATGTAGAGTCTTTTTAACATGGTGCAACTCTGGGTATAATATATTCAGCTTGCAAAACAGAAATAAGAATTTACAAAATTATATTATGTAAATGATTTGAATGATGATCATCATTATGTAGTCTTTTTAATACGGTGCAACTCTGGATATAATACATATATTCTTCCAAAACAGAAATAAGAATTTACAAAATTATATTATGTAAATGATGACGATGATTATATAGAGCTTCTTTAATACGATGCAACTCTGGATATAATAGATTCCTTTCTGTTATTTATTAATTAAATATTATTACTGCAATCATTACTGTTGAGATTCTGTTGTCGTTTCATGTGGTGTGCACACAACATAAGTTTTTTTTTTCATATTTTGATTAATGTTTATGAAAATGTTATCATATTTGCACATGGCAAAATTTAATCCAATCAAAGTGTAAAACTAGAAGAAGGTATTGAAATATATAATATACTCTTTTCTTAAAAGTAACATGTTTACAATTTATAATATCGCTTAGCTATTGAATTATATTTTGCCAAGAACAATAATTAGAACTACACTACTGGGATGTGCCATTATTGCACTAAGCTTTTTTCATATTCTTGTCTTTGTTCTTCCACTTGCCCCTAGTCCTTTCCTGTTCTCTTTCTTTCCATAGGCCCAAAAGATATTCTTTCAGGTTGAAAGTTCGTTCGCTATAGTTTAGTGCAGTACAAAAAAAGAAACGGTTCGTGGTTTATCGGTACTTTCTTAGTTTGTGTTGTGTTCAAGTTGAAAGTTTAACACTTTAAAAAGTTCCGCGCAAGAAAAAACCCGACAAAAAAACAGTATGTATCGTAACATGTGATAAACAAAGTTCTCAAAGTTTAAATATAAATAAAGTATAAAAGTTTTGATATAAAAAGAAAAGTTGTCAAAAGTTGTGACATAAAAAAAAGTATGTTCGACACAATATGGATCGCGCGCGTTGTGCTATCAAGAGCGAATACTTCACAGGCTCTGATTGACACAGGTAAGCCCTGCGATGCTATTGATGCAGATTTTTCAGTGCTACACACATGCGGTCGGTGAAACGCCTAGTAAAAAAAAAACAAAGCATTAACTTATCAAGTAAGAGAGACATTTGTGAATGGGTTTACATTTAAAAATTTCATAATCAAGACATTCCCGTTCCCGTTTGTCTAAAGTTCATCTGCCGCCTTTTAATAAACCTCTATTGCTTTACAGGGTGAAATTTCGACTATGTCGGACTCTGGTACAGATAGCACTTCCTCGGAGGGATATGACGGAGATAGGAATCGACTTACTATCACGGATGAGGTGACATCGTCGCGCTATTCGCATCATTCCTCGGGATCCGAACGACGAAAGTCTGCGAGTTCTATCATCTCCGAGGTACAGTCACCTCCTGGATCGCCATTGTCGGGTGCAGAATCGAAATCACCAAGATCCACACCGTTATCGCCGAAATCGGTACAATCTGGGATACTGTCACCTAGCGAGGAGGGTTCTTTAAGATCGTTGCGTAGTTTATCGAAATCTCCACCGCCAATGTCACCGTCACCCATGTCGCCGACATATCACCAACCCTCGTCGCCAACATATCGTCCATACGAGTCACCGAACTCTCATCATTCGGGACCCAACTCTATCGAGTCACTTCGATCGAATCGTAGCTCGTCTCGATCTCCTATACAGGACAACGGATCGTGTCTTTCTCCTCCGAATGATTCCAAGTCTATGCGCTTTGAAGACGCCGAATCGAAAGCGTCTGATCTCGAAGTAGATGCGCAGAGATCCGCCGATAATTCGTTAAAATCGTATTCGTACAAAAATAGCGAGTCCAGACAAAGTTCACCAAAATCGCCCAGATCGGGTCCTAGTTCTGTCAAGTCCTTGATGTCGCCGAGGAGTTCACCAAAGTCATTCAAATCTGGTCCAGCGTCTCCTATGGATGATCAAGAATCGGATAAACATTCGCCAATGCATTCAGGTCCTCGTTCTCCCGAGGAAGAAGACGAAGATAAGAATGGTTCATTTAACGAATTGGACGGCGAACAAATCTCGGATGGGGATATCGAGGACGAACCAGAACCCATGTCTAAATCTAAACCTGCACCTATTACTCATGGCGAGGATTTATCGGATGTGTCGGATCTTGAAAGTATGGATGGTCCTGAAGAACCTACGGAACAGAACATAGAAATAGATAAGCCTCAAGAACAGGATGTGAAACAAGAAATTGTTAAGGAGGAAGAAAATACAGAGAAAGAAGATAAAACTGCACCGGTTGGTTTGACAGAGGAAAGTGAACAATTAGACTTTGAAGCCGATGGTCAATGGAAAGATGAACGTGACGAAGGTAAATATATTATTTAAAGAAATTTAAGTTTATATTTCAAAACTTATACATTTGAATATTATATTAATTGTGTTTACAAAACATTGTTATATTAAAGAAAGATTGTCTTAAGTATCACTAAAATTATAATTACTGTATTGATAAAATTGCAGGTGAAACTGAAGCACCAGGTACAAAAGAAATTAAAGAGAATACAGATAAAGATAAAGACAAGGACAAAGCGAAGCCAAAGGAATCCAGTGAAATGAATGATAAGGAAGAGGGCGAGGAAGAAGGTGAGAAAGAAGAATCTGAATTGGAGGAAGGAGAACTTAGCGATGGGGATGACGCACGACCAGAAGAAACTGAGCCTAGACCAGTGTGTCGTTTTTATAATCGCGGACAGTGTACGTGGGGTGTTAGTTGTAGATTTTTGCATCCAGGAGTGACGGATAAAGGTAACTACACTATGTTCGATATGGTGAGGCCTATGGCATATCCGCCACACGCCGCCGCCGCGCCACATGAATTTAGGCCGCACATCGACAGACCGAATATTCGGTCCTTACCTGGTTATGGTGCTCCTGCCCATCCACCTAAAGTGGAAGAAACGCCAACTGAATCGGCCTGGGAGCGTGGCCTGCGCCATGCTAAGGAAGTAAGTTACATAAAATTGTACGAAGTATTACATGTATTATTTTTTTGTTGATGTAATTAATAATTTTATAAACAATACTATATTATAATAGTATAATTATAAAAATATAATAATTTTATTATTTCTAATTATCTAGATGATGCGTAAAGCGAATAAACGGAAGGAATCAGACATGGATTTTGAAGAGAAAAAAATGAACTTGAGTTTAGGGCAGGATGAATTAGATCGAGAAGCTGGATATTACGTGAGAGCTGCTAGTCCCGAGCCACCAGTTGAAAGATGGCCACAACGCGAAGTATCACAACGCAGAGTGCCAGCCAGACCTACGCCAGACAGATATGTCGAGGAACCTGAGGGAGGATATTATCCTCCACCTGTATCATCCGATTATTATAGGTGAGAACAGAAACGATATACATCATATGACTGTCAGTTCTCTTAAGAAAAAAACAAATTATTTTAATAATATGTATATTATACAAAATAATTACTCGATCGGATCTGTTCTATGCTATTTTTATTTTTTAGGAGAGTGCACTATAAAGATTCTCGTGAATATCGAGATCGTCTCGATTATCACGCGATTCCACGCGGTGCGCCATCGGTTTCTCCGCCACCGCATCCTCGCGATCGAGAAAGGGAACGAGATCGAGAACGCGAGAGAGAGCGAGATTATTACGAGAAGTATGAGAAGAAACATAAGCGGCCATCGCGGGAAGTTATCGTCGAACGTATCCCGCCGACGAAACCATGGCGGGAAGAGGAACCACCACCTGTCGAAAGAGGCCGGGGCGACGAATGGGCGGATCCGTGGATGCGACGCAAGTCTCCGAGCACTGTGCGTCGTAACACGTCATCACGTAGATCTCGTCGGCAATCGTACTCTTCGGGCTCTTCTTATTCCTCGACAAGGTATTATTCGTATTTAATTGCCGTTGATTATTCGCGCCTATTTTTAATTGTCGGTATTAAGGCTCCTGGATCTCGTTGCGATCATGTTAGATTGTGATGTCAGAGGCGAGAAGCCAAGAGCCTTAATATTAAAGAAAAATAAGAAAATAGCACCCTAATAGATATTTGTTAAAGATAACTTATCATTCGTAATAATATTTTACGCGCGCGAGAATACATTTCATAATATTTTTTATGAAGAAATGGCACATGATAAAAAGGGAGGGAGGGGGGAGGATATTATAAATGACAAATATTTCGTAATATCCTGTGTAGAAGAAAAAGGTATAAGAATATAATCTTTTTAGTTCTAGCCGTAGCTCGAGCCGTTCTAGCTACAGTTCTTACGACTCCCTATCCAGGTCCCGTTCACCATCACCTTCCGCTAGAACCCGTTCCACTGGCAAAAGCAAAACTGTTATCACATCACCACCCGCCAATCCTTCAGCCGTTACCGCAGCTGCACCTCGAGGCGCCATGCTAATGAATCCTCCTGCTCCATCTCCTCGTCCACCCAAAGGCTCTATCTCTCCTACAACGGGTACTCTACATAGACGAGCTGGATTGAATCCACCTGCTCCAAGTCCAGTCTCCTCACATCAGCGTCATCATGAAAAAGCTAGAGAGCAAAAAGCTGCTATAGCTGCAGCTGCCGTGGCCAAAATCATTAAAAGTCGCTCCAGATCTAGGTGAGCAAAGTTAATTCATAAATTTAATACGACTGAAATATTATGAAAGTATAAAAAATTTTAATTTGATATTATTAAAAATTAGTCTTATTGGTTAAAATAATTAATTTATTTTTGTGTGCCTTTTTCTTTATTTCTATCGCATCTATTATGCATCACGAAGACAAAGAGAAAGAGATCGGAGAAAAGCACATTCTAAATCGTTTCACAGTAGTTCTGGATCGGAGAGCAGCGGAAGCAGCAGCGATTCTAGCGAATCGAGTTACTCCTCGTCCTCCAGCGAGGCGCGTAGAAGGAAAGGCTCGACACCGCCGATAACACGTAAAGATTCCAAGGGCATGGACGCTCTGAAGTTGAGCGGCGCGAAGCAACAAATTAAACTCACGCTGAAACCTACAAGCAACGCTACAGCGGTGAAAAAGATCGACCGTAGTGCACTTGTGGCAGGTAAAAAACGGTCTCTCGAGTCACCGCCGTTGATTGACAGCAAGGCACAAGTAGCCGCGGCTGCGGCCAAGGCTGCTAAAAAGGTCAGCTCGCGTCGCGAGGAATTGTTAAAGCAATTGAAAGCCGTAGAAGACGCGATTGCTCGTAAAAGATCAAAGGTTTAAAAAAAAAGAGAAATTGATTGACGAATCTTCAGATATAAATACGTATGTATTAAACGTTTTCTAGACACATCGTGTAATTAGTATCACTGTCATTATCATCATCATCATTATCATCATCATTATCATTATCATCATCAGCGCAGAATAACGAGATACGCAAAGTGTGTTAGATTATGATGATATATGTTCTCATTTTTACAAAAAATATACAGAATTAAACTCTTCATTATTATCATAATTTATTTCTTTAACTAAAATTATTTCTTCTGTTCTATTTTTTTTCTCAAATAAGCGTGTAAACATAAGTAGTGCTGTACAGTTTCGCTCCGATTTTTGATTTAATAACTATTAAATAAGTGTGTAAAATTTAAAGCAAAAGAAATACATGCCTAGTTTACGTTATATGATGTGTACCATATATAAGTACATATTGATTCTTGTACACATATATGTGTGTATGCACGATGCATAATTTATATTAAATATCAGTTAATTTTCAATTTCGTTAATGTATATGCGCGTGAAGAATTGTATTGTCATAGATTATAACATTTCTGAAAAGACAAATTCTCCAAGTAATGTCAGCAGATTATAGAGTTCTCAGATTACAAGCTCGATTTTTGCCTCAGTAATTGCAAATTTTTCTTTTTCTAATATTAAATGTCGAAGCAGCCGGCTTTATAAAATATCACTCCATCTCGCGCTCTTATTTCTAATGGTTTGGAGCAACGATTTTATAACTGAGAAATGTATGAATAATCACATGTGTGTGTATAAATATTTATTTTATACTTCACTTTTATTTGAACAAACATAAAAAGTAGCATTAAAAACAAACGATTTATCGATCCCCATGTTGTCAAATGTAAGGATTATTTTGCAATTGTAAATGCATTTTGAAATATCTGTAACGATTGTTGCACTTTGAATATGAAAGCGCAAATAAATCAATTTTTCATGAAGCAAGATATTTGTTAGTAAAATCAGAGAAACATAGTGCTAACTTTCCATTAATGGCATAAAAAAGATTAATGATAAAAGAATAAACTTGGCGCAACAAAAATAACATTTTTAAAAATATAATAAATATATAGAAATAAAATTAGTGAGATTTATGTAACAGCATAATCTCGAATGTGTAAAAATATATTTTCTTTTAATGAAAGTAGAGAAACATCGATGAGAATTTGATAAGTGACTAATGACCTGCGATATTAGATAATCTTTCGTTCATCGGAAGAATATAATTCCCAAAATAATAAAGAATATATTGTCTCTCATAAATACAGCAATTTTATTACGTGCGAGGAAGATTTCATAACGAAACCGTATATATTTTATACTTTGCTTCCGTATATATAAATAATATTACAGCATAAACTATGCTAATTTTATGCAGCCTATTAATTTAAGGAAAAAACACTTTGTTAACAACAGACTTTATTAAATATATAAGTTACAAAACAAAATCCAGAAGAGAGTATTATCAAAGATACTGATTCTCTCTCTTTGGTTCTAAACAGATTAAGTTAACATGTCTTATTTTTATTTAACAATCCATAGAGGCGCCGATTAAATGGACGCATGCTCCCATTTATATAATTATAAATAAATATAAATAATATAATTATAAATAAACGCCGTACAACTTAAAAGCATCTAATATAAGCCGTCCCGTTTAGATGAACTTGATTGAGTCGCATCTCAACATTGAAGATATCTTAACACATGTGTACGTTTTATCGTATGAAATCCGAGGTTTAAGCATTTAGGCATAAAAAGACAAAGCGATAAATAAATGTGTGTATATGTGTGTGTATGAATGAATAGCGTGTATTTATGTATCCATCAAAATTAAGTGAAATTGTATCTTATTTATTTGAGCTTTGTACTTAAACCTAGAAGAGGAGCGCCGAACATTCGGATACTTTATAAGTACCGTATATATACAGACAACAATTTTACGCGAAACATACGATTATATACAGTTGTACGATTGTTTAGTGTAACGTTACAAGCGTTAGCCAAGATATGCTTTCAAATGCCGAGTCGTTGCATATAAAATATATAATTCACTCTGCACCGTTGAAACGTTCAAGTATCAAGAGTCTCTCTAAACATAGCGAAGAAAACAACACACTGTCTTACACCCTCGACGTAGGAGCGTCGAGGTCCGATACTCTGTTTGTTAGATTCGAGTCCGCGGTTTCCTGCATACTTCTGAACGGCATTCCCATGAACTTTGAATTGACGCCGTTCAAGGTGCTACGTCTCGCTCTGGCGCTGAGCTCCGGACTCGGTTTTACCTCGTTGTACTTGAAGAGACCGTCACCGGGAGCCGGCAGGCCAATCTTGGGCAACTTGTACCACCACCTATAAGTAATGTACCATGTAAGGACCGCTGCCACGCCGCCCAGGAATTTCTCGATCATGATGTGATAATAGAGCATCGTCGACACCAGCATGATGTCCCACAACAGCTGTTGCAACGTCATCGCCACGAAGAGACCCCGCAGATACGGCGTGAGCGCCCGATGCGCCTTCTTCAGAAACTCCAGGTCGGTGTCCGAGAGATTACGCAGCGGTCCGCGGCTCGTCTCGCTCGGGGTTGCTCGAGTGTGCTCTTCGCGCATCACCAGGTCCTTGATACCCTCCCATCCTACCAGAGAAGAGCCTTCCTCTGCCAGAATCAGACTCGAGTAGATCAGGATGAACGTGTGGCCGGATATGTCGAAGCCGCTCCAAAATTTACCCGACTTCAGGCACTTGGGCTTCGAGTACAGAATCTGCATGTCGCGGGTCTGCAGGCATCTGCCGTAATTCGTCTCGATGTAATTGAACAGCTTCGTCCAGGCGAGCCAGGCGACGGTGGCGAGGCCCACCCGGGCCAGATGTCGCAGCAGGATCTGCCTGCGACCGCAGCCCAACGTGTGGGCCGTCAGGGCGACCCAGGGCACGGTGACAGATAGGAGCCAGCCCCAGCCCCACTTGACGAAGTACTGGTTCAGAGCGTTGTCGGACCTGGCGAAGTAACTGCGCGGCATCGAGACAAAGTCCGCGATCAGAGAAACCGCGAATATCGTGCCGCAGTAGATCGCGACCTTGAGTCGGGTGTCGAAGAGCAGGGACTTTTTGCACAAGTGTAGCAGCATGGTGATGAGGATGAGGCCGATGGAGCTCGGCGCCGCGGTCGGCCGGGTGCCGCCGCGATCCTCCTGGGTGGAACTCGGCCGGAAGTTCATCGAGCGTAGACCGCTGCCGGTGGGCCCGGGATTTCCGGGTGACGTATAGTTGCTTCGTCGCTTACCTGTCGCCATCGCGGCTCCTCCGTTCAATCCCCCGAATCCCGTTAGATTAGGTTATCGACACGCCTGATACTCGAAGACGTCACCTGCAGACATCTCACTGGCTTCGAGCTTTTAGGTTAGACGCATCACTTGCTCTAGGAGATGCTGGAAGATGTCCAAATCGGCGCTGCCTGTTCCAACGAAAGTCTCGCCTCAAATCGTACCTCGGACTCGGGGTAAAAGCTGCTTCGTCATCCACTGTTTGATCCGATCCCCTCTTCTTCGTTCCACATTACTATGCGTGTCATAAGTGTTCTTTGCCCCCGGAGTACGTTTAGGTTCTTCTTCATGTACAGCAATCATGTGAAAATCTATATATCATTTCACGCTCTATTGACGCTGTCACGACGACTCTGCGCGATCGACCGAGTTTGACAGTTATCGACGGTAACTGTCAAACTCAGTCGGTAATTGTGTATCGACGCGAGTTTATAAAATTCGCCGCTAGATGGCGCGCGCAAGCGCGCAATATGGCCGCCGGCGGCGAGCAGCGTCCAGTCCAAAATGGTCGACGGTTTCGAAACGTTAAGCTAATCGTGCGTTCCGGTTAATTTACGCGAGTACATTAGCGTGTCGAGAGTAAACTTTCGCAAACGTTGCTCCGTTCCGTAGACTTTCGACGCCCGACTCTCATCTTTTTCGCGCTTCAAGGACGTCGAAAGAGAGGGAGAGAGAGAAGGAAAGAGAGGGGGAACGCTTGACACGCCGGGACGCGAAGCGGAGACTCGTGGACTCGCGTCGGGAGCGATCGCGCGCGTAGTTTTACGACGCTTCCCGTTCGATCCAGCGTCTCTCCAGAGGTGAAAAAAGTGACAGCGTGAAACTTTGTGGCGCGACTGTGAATTCCCGGAAGAGGCGAGGCGACCGGACGACGAGGAGCAGCGGAAGCGGAGCAGAGAGCAGTAACAGGTGGAACGGTAATAACAATATATATATATATATATATATATATATATTATGTATACATATATATAGTACTACGTTCGATTCTTGGCTTCTCGCGACGTGTCGCCTTCGAAGCTACCCGGGGGAGATTTTCTGCCCGTGTATTTGTGCGTGCTTCAAGTGTGCCTTTTTCATTCTTCCGGTTGCGACTCCGCGTTGGCACGACCTCCTTGACGCGCGTCTAGTCGATAACCGTGTTAATTCGACGTGTACGTTCCTTTGCTCGTCTCGTCTCTCTCGTTCTCTTTCTCCGTCCCTTATTCGTGCGTGAGAGAACAATGCGGGGCGTAGCTCGCGTGAATCTCGCACGAGTCGTTTGAATGGGCGAATCTTTTTTTGTACGATTTCTCTATTCGATCGACGGCGAAAAAAAACGAAGCAACTCGGAGAATAATTCGATAAACATCCTTTCCTTGCGTAAGTCGTTGCATAAATGAGAATTGCAGCGCTTGTTTTCGTTGTAATTTTGTCTGATTAGAAGCAATTATAAGTCGCTTTTCATGCATAAAAAGCGTTGCATGCGTGTAATGACTAATGATATATGCAACGCGCGAGTAAAATATTACAGATTATTTTAAGCTTCAATTATGTATATATTTGTTATAATATGCCCGAAGTATATTTTTTCATGTAGGGCTAAACACAGAATTGATCGATATGCCCGCAAACGGGCTTTTTATTTATGAATACGCGACGCCGTCGACTTTTTGCCAAATCGATGACATTCGACATATGGCGTCGCGTCCCTCAAGCTCGAGTCCTTTTCATTCGCACGCAACAAATCTCGGTTAAATTTGACATTTCCCGTATCTCGATATGCGCGCGCGAATAATCGACGTTTCTCCACCTACGCGCGGCGTTTCGAGCAAACGCGATGCATTCCTTTTCGCGACGTGCACGCAACATGTGTGATTGCTGATAGTTTCCTTCGATCCGAATAAGCGCGGCTTGATTCTTCCGTTTAATCAAATTCTGAATTATTCGTAATCTCCAATCGCAAACAATTATTTTTTTATTAGAATTTAGCTCGATACGCACATAAGTATTTTATAATTTCATATTTATCTCTGATAATGAGAATCTCCAATCGCAAACAATTGTTTTTTATTAGAATTTAGCTCGATACGCACATAAGTATTTCATAATTTCATATTTATCTCTGATAATGAGATATATGGTTTGCAATAAGTATTGATACTATCGTCAATTATGAGGAGAAAAATATGACTCGAGTCAATGTATAAATATTGATTCATAAGAGATATGATTCACATATGCAGTTTTACGATGTAAAAGTTATTACTAATAGCGAATGAATTCTAAAAAAGAGATTACGAATGTTTAGTGTATTTAGGGCGGATTTTTTCAACTTCTCGGTAAGTTTTACTTAACAGATAGCATATTTTTGTCATTTTTCAGATAAGTTTTAAAAAGGAGACACAAAGATATGCTATTTATCGGGTAAAACTTATCAAGAGTTGCAACAACCGACCCTTAGTAATGTGTCACCCAAGAATGTGTGTAATGATAAATTATTGCGACAATTTTATTTAATTTAATTTTTCAAGATTGTTGTATTTAACAAAAAATTTTTAACTAATTCTGAATTTTTTGCACATGTCAAATTATATTCATAAAAAAATTTCTTTTTACACTAATTATAAATTTTAGATCAGAAAATATTTTCGTGAGTAATAATGATGTATTATTGAGTATAACAATGTATTATTGAACAGAATAAATATATCGTGACAAATTTAACTTTTAGAATGCTCGTCGTATTTAACAAAAAATTTGAAACTTCGATTAATTCTAAATTTTGCACATGCCAAATTATATTCATAAAAATTTCTTCTTCGTACACTAATAATAAATTTTAGATCAGAAAATAGTATTATCGAACGGAATAAATATATCGTGACAAATTTAACTTTTCAGAATGCTCGTCGTATTTAACAATTAAAAATTTTGACTAATTCTGAATTTGGCACATGTCAAATGATATTCATAAAAAATTCTCTTTACTCTAATTAATAAATTTTGAAAAATTCAGAAAATATTTTCTTGAGTAATAATAATAATAATAATAATGATGATGATAACTCGTATTATTGAAGAGAATAAATATGCATATATAACATGAGTAATACACACGCACCCGGCATAATGAATCGTTTTACGACGCAATACTTGTCGCATTATAATAAATAGGAATATTTTCACTCATTTTTTCCGAGGAGGTGGATTTAATGAACCACGTGTATCCGCGGCCGCGCCTCGCTTTACGTCGCGCTATTCACGTGACCTGTCACTATCTATTTCCAGTCTCGGGATGACCTCATGCCGTGAAATTAAGTAATTCTCTCCTGCAGCAATGCGCTTCGACTGACATAATACCGCGGTCTGTAACCCAAGAGTGCCTCTTTAAATTCTGACCGGAAGCTCTTTTACGATCACAGGAGACAAGAGAGACATTTTCCCCCCTTGAAATTAATAAAAAAATTAAGCATTTGCTCTTCTTTTGAATAAACCCTGAAATTTATTTTCATATTTAATACAAAAAAATAAATAAAATAAAATTAAGAAAGAACAAAAAATTAAAAAAATTTAATTATGTTCTCCTGAAAAAAAAACCTGCGAACACATGCTTACGATCTCTTCTCTCGTGACAGCTTTTGCCAGCTGTCATTCGAGTGACAGCCACGTGAAGCTTCTCTCCGCGTTCTCAAATAGAAGGTCGGGGAAAAAAGTGAAGTGTATATAAAATCGTGGTTTTTTTCTTACATCTTCTCTTCGTCGTGTTAATAATAATTTTCAAAAATAATTTGGATGGAATATCGACTGTTTCGGAGTTTCGGGAAACCAGACGCGCGCGCATCGATCATCCGTTATCGTCGACGCAAACGCGTTTACGCCTTTTACGCCTGCACGATAGCTCCTCGTAATCGATCCGCGCGACGTTTTCATTTTCGCGTCCTTCGGTGTCGATCGCGGTTCCATATCTCCGGCGCGGCGTCCTCTCGCAGGACATTAATTGCACGTTAATCACGGAAAGTGCGACAAATCGCTTGTTCAGGTATATAGAGCGTACACATATATAGGTGCCGGTATATCTCGTGTAGTTATATATACCTATATATATATATATATATATAGGTCGATCGATCAGCGGTTACGAGAGTAAGTATAGTGCAAAGAATTAACAGCGAGCAATTAACGCAAGCGACGATTTTATTATTAACCTTTTATTTTTATTGAGAATTATACAAGTATTTAATATTCCCGACGTAAAAGAAAAGTGTGAGATTTAATGGAAAATATAATCTCAGCGAACGTATTTACGAGTGATTGAGATAATATGTCACGCCGTAGCACGTATATATATACATAATGCTTCGATCGATTTTTGCTCCGGTTATAAGGATCGCGAGTTATTTTCTTTTGCTCGTTGAGTGAGTGAATCTCGAATCTCTTATCTGCGATCTGTGAAAGTCAAAGTAATTTCATAAAATGTGTGTATTCTATCTGCCTCGCTCTCATTCCTGTCTCACGCTCGTTCTCGACGAATTATATCTGAAGCAAGATTAATTAAGTAAGATCGTAAGCCGGTCCTCCAACTAAGAGCAACAAAATCTTAAAAATATTATAAATTAGAGAACGCCAATTTGTCATCGATAAATATATACGTATAAAAGATAAGTGAAATCAGTCTCTCTAATAGTCATAAATAGAGGTACTATCGATTAGATGGAAATATGTACGAAGGCATGTTATTACAACGAGATTGTACTATAAGTCGTTGAGTTAATTCTAAACAAATTTCTGTGAGAATAAATATATAAAGCGCTACGTAAGATAATAAATAATATTAGAACATTAGAACTAGATCAGTCGTATCACATCACTTATTTATTCTAGTATTTTTTTGAATGAATTTCACATCTTGAAAAGATAATATTTTATTTGCCTAATCTATGATATATAACTTTATTGTGTTCTTTAGGCTTTGTAAATTTTAAGTTTAATTTATCATTAAATGTTTTTCAATTATATCACTCGAGTAAATATTTTTAGATTAAATGTCAAAGAAAATTTTAAATTAATTTTTTATAATTATTCAAAGTTTTTAGCTTATATGTATCTAAATTCTATCATTTCAAATGGTTTGCTAAATTCTACGCGATATTTTTTTAGAACAAAATCAACTCAACAAGTGCTTCTTATTTATACATTCGAATAAACAAACATACATGCTTTGACAAATACGCTTTGCATTTACATATATAATATTATAGTGTACATCATAAACAGGGTATCCGGTAATCTCTACTCATTTTGTGCAGGTATAACTGGAGTTAAACTGAGGAAAAATTCTCTACTATTTTACAATCTCCATACAATAATTAATGAGAAATTAATTAAAAAATATCAGCCAAGTCGGCAAAAAAAACAGCACAGAGACAACTCAATGTTACAATTGCACAATGCATAAATAAATTTGATTATTAATCTTAATGCTTTGTCGCGCCCCTAATCGCAAAATAAATGGGTGTCTTTTTTCGCGCACTTGTGAGCAAATTGGTCCATCTTTTTTAATTAATTTCTTATTAAAAAAGATCGGCCAATTGCGCCATTTTATTCCGAAGATCGCAAAATGGCAAAGGATTTTCCTGCTCGGTTAAACATTACCAGATACCCTGTATACCTAGTTGTATACAGCATGATTCTTTCATACATCTATATCATTCATTGATGGCGGTCTTTGTATTATTTATTTATTTACATTAAGGTCCATCTCTCTTTTTTACTGTTTATACAATTCAATCAATGCTCCATGGTCGAGCGAGTTTATTTGTTAGACGCGCCCTTGCAAAGAATCGCCATCACCGTCTTACATATGTCCGAGTCGGATGGCGGTAACTTATAAAGCAGTGACGCAAACTATGCGACGTTACTGCATTTGTTGTGTTACAGTTTTAGAGTAACCGGAGACGATGGATCAAGGCTTCCCGGGGCAGCACACCACCACGACCACCGTGACGACCACCACCACGACCACTCAGCCTAATATACGGTTTGATCCGTCATATGCGAGGACATTGCCTGGCCTTTTGAAAATCGTGCAAGTGGTAAGTGCATGCATTTCTTTTTCTAGGGAAAAAAAATTAAATGGACTTAATAAAAGAATACATAGGCAACATTAATATTTATTCAAGACTGCCTCAAATGTCTCTCATTTTACAACAATATTCTGATAAATTAATTATCAAAACTAATTTGAAAGATACTACAGAAAAGATATTAAGCCGTAATTACAATAATTAAGATAAATCTTTCTCTAATAACCATAACTCTGAAAATATTAAATGAGAGACAGCGTGTGAGCTAAAATTATATTAGAAATTGGAAAATTCAAAGTGCACGTTTTCTCTATTAAATATGCACAGTATGAACGTGCGTTTATATCGTTAGTTGGGATTACGACGGTATAAACATCTCGGTTGCGTCACAGACTACAATGGATTCTTAAATCTGATGTCGGTTGCAAGAGCCGTGAGACTTTATACCTGCCCATAGTGCATAGCACCGGTACAGCTGGGCAACACAGAATTTCCTGAATGATAATCGCGTTGGGCCCTTCTTTCAGGTACTAAATCTCTTGGGATTTATATGCATAACCGTGTCGAGCCAGAGCAGCCACAGCCGGGGAGGATGGTTCAATACCGTGGCCATGGGCGGTTTCTGGTTCACGGGGATCCTGCTTGTCCTCTACTTGTTCCATATTATCGAGAAGTTCTCCAAGATTCCGTGGCTTAAGATTGTAAGTAGCCGGTGGTTCTCCCTACGCTGCTATTAATCCTGATTATATTTTCTAGACGCAAAATTCTCTATTTTGTTCGCGTGGAGGTATGCCGCGCCTAAGACGAATGCAAATAGAAATAAGTAGGCGGCCCCGGAGAACGGGTCGTATACGTTCGATAACACACGCATATGTAATATTCGTGATACGCGGGAACCAGGGAGTGAAAGCCTGTTAGAAAGTTCCTACGCAGGAATCTCTGAAAATCGATCTGTGTCATTCTGACTTTTATACTCACGGGTGAACGATCGATCGTGAGCGACGTATCGAGGACAGTCGTTTGGGTCAAATCATTATTCAATAATCCGGATTATCCTCTTTTTTTCCAAGAGTAAACACCTAACATTACGTGGCGCTTTTCGTAATGTCGAGTAACGTCATTCCCTCTTGAATCAGCTGATTGTGCGAATTTAACCACGTTCAAATACAGTTTTACGGTCTTCATTCTTATCGAGAAATGTTATCTGTATGTCTAACTTACACAATATTTTCAGGAATTCATATTCTGTACGGTATGGACAGTTTTCTACCTATTGGCCGCCTCTCTTGCAGCTGATTACGCGCGCTACACCGAGGCCTTCGGTGTTGCATCGGTATATAAAAATTCTATATATTATTATTATTATTATTACAAATATCTCAAATAAATAATACAAATATCGAAAAGATGTTAAAAGATATATCAATGTTTTCGACACAAGGAGAAAAAATAAATTATTGTGTAAAAAGTAACAATATTAAGAGTTAAAACAAGTTTAGCAAATATATCTTTTCGACTTTTGTATTGTTTAGGATACTTCTTGATTAATTTAATAGTATATAGACTCTTAAACTAAGATATATATTTCTCGCAGTTTTTCGGTTTCTGCGCGATGGTGGCATACGGTTACGATGCTTGGCTGAAATTCAACGCGGCGAAGAGCGGCGCGTTGGCGCAGGGTCAACACACGCCGAAACAAGTGTCCACCGTCAACAGTCCGGCGTATTAAAGTATACAAGAGGAAGAAGAGGGGAGGAGAGACAGAGGTCCCGAGGTAAATGGACCACCGGTCGACCAATTGGACCGATCGGTCGATCGACACATATCGTTACCTTTTTACGGGGCCAGCTCGTTTGTAACTTCAGCGTGTTGTTTCTTTCTCGCGCGGAATCTCGTCAGCGATGCTTTTTTCGCTCGTTCGCACGTGTGCGTCACGTGCATGTGTTGGTGCGTGCGTACATTCGTTTATTTACACCCGCGCACGTACACTCGACTTTCCTTTCGTCTGATTTTTTTTTGTACTTGTAACAAGGCAATAATCTACACTACGCTGTAGCGTATCGTTGACTTATATTCTAATATACGAAGAGGCGATGCGCTCATATATATATATATATGCATTATCCTCCATCGAACAACGATTGTTAATATTTTGTAATAATGTTTGCCGCATCTTCGCTTTCGATCGATTTTATTCGATGTTATTTATATGCGACGATATACGTGTACATACATATATATATGCACACATGGAGCTATATATATATATGTATGTATATACATACATATACGTTGTTGAAACTATATCTTAAATCATTGTTGAAATTGAGACAACGCTTCACGCATCATGGTACAGCGAGGCTCGGACGCGATATCGAGTGCCGGTGCGACTGTTAGATCTATTTTAATCCTCTGGGTCTTTGTTTGCAACTGATCCGGCCAATCTTGTATTTCATTGTTGTGTGCGATTGTTTTCTGCAGAATAATGTTTACATTAACGAAGAATTTTCGGTTGTATCTCCAAGAATTTAACAAAGGAACAATTAAATTTAATTATATGTATTAATTATACATGTACATATTTATATAAATATTTATATATTCAAATAAATATTTATATAATAATATTTATATTATATACAAATACATGAACTTAATAGAGAGCAAAGTATTATTTCTGCAGAAAATATGAGTCAAGAATATATTCGGGCGCTTGCAAACAAGGACAGCATGCAGAAACTGAATATATCAAGACACAGTTTTCCTCTCTTCGTCGTATGTAGCCTTCTTAGATTGTCATATAGATCCTTTAGATTGTTCGATATTGCGCTTTGCAAGTTCCTGAGGGATCAAAAGTTACGATTGCGCAAATTGTACAGAAAAGAAAATTAAGAGAATAATGTAGTGTGATAACACATACATATGAACACACACACACACAAACATATACATACAGATACATTATTTAACTCTCGAGTCAGTCTATTGACTCGCGATGAATATATTTACCATATATTCGTCATCATATCGGATCATCGACGCGTAATTTCGCGCGATGACACTCACGAGATTCTTTATGCCAAGGACACGAATAATTTGTTACGGTTGACCGAAGAGTACCGCACTCTTTCTATCGCGCGTAAGCTATATTTACTATTTTTGTTATCTTTAGAGAATCAAGAACCTTTTGAACCTGTACAAGTACACATTTCACGGTATATACCGATATCGATGTCTAGTTAAAGAGATCTGGCGAATATTACTATGGATATTACTATGCATAATGAGATTGGGCGACGAAATAAAACTTCAACATCGGTAAATACATTCAGTGAAATAATTATATAGATTGTTGTTTCTCGCGAATGTGAAAGTCGATTCGCTACCGATGCCCTTTCGACGTAGGAAGAATTTTGTCAAGTGACTGTTGTGTATGTAAAGTATATTACGAATATATCAATAAGATCATATATATATAGATATATATATACATATATACGCACGAGTTATCTTCGTAAATGTATTTAATTTAGGAAAGATCTGTTTCTTTCATGATATCGAGAGTGACAAATTGAATGACAAAAAAAATGAAGCAACTTCTCCAATCAGTATTGTTATGTGGCAAGCTAAATTGTGAAGAATTGCATCAATCTCGATATGTTTTCGCTCATTTTACGCTGATGGTATTATGGATATATATTATTAATATATCTCGATTTATATATATACATTAACTTATTTATTAAATGTAATTTACACTAAATGCATGATCTTACATGGGTTACTGGTACCGCGCTAAGCTCTCCACATTTTAACTTATTTATTAACTCTAATTAAACTTTGTAAAACACGAATATGATATCGCATATGAGTTACGATTGGGGGCGACGAGGACGATGGCGAGTATGCGTGGAAAACGCGCTTTTAGTTAATCTTGTCTCTTAATTTCTGTACTGAAATTGAGGTCGGCGCGCCTGTTTTTTGCCCATCGACGAGAGATCGATGGTCTTTCCGTTCGGAAGTACCAGCTTATTCTCCTGGTAATCAACGAAGCCGTTTTCCTCCTCCTCCTCTTCCCGTTGTTCCTCATCGCACTTAATTCCGGTCTCGTACGTGTATTCGCGCCGGAGTCCATCCGGATCGATGTATCCGTATTTACCGCTCGTTATACAATCCACGCCGATCGTCTCTTCCTTGTATGATCCGTCGTCGTTTTCGAAGCCCCACGTGATGGAACCGTCCTCGTTGTCGTGTTGATATCGCCTGATGATCTGTAACAGACGTTCGAATATTTTATTAGACGTCGAAGAGTGCTTTTTCTACCAAAAAAAGAGAGCCCCAGGGTATCTTTCACGGTCCACGGCGCATTATGAATTTGGTATGATCTAAGACTTATTTAAAGACCACCGCCACACTGTCATTCCGCGCAAATTTGACCGATGTTGTGTAACGCGTAAACAGGTTTTCTCTCGGTCGCATTTTATGAATTATTATCGAGATATTGGGAATAAGAACCAAGCGCAACGCCGGATGATTTCGACTTTCACTTATCGATTTCGAAAAATAACTTACATCAATCTTTTTCGTACGCTGAGAAGCGATTGTATAATAATTCCAGATTTTTACGATGTTTCATAATAATTTCACGTTAATTCATCATAGCGATAAGCTTGTTTCGGAAGCGATTTTCAAGGACGAGTTTCCATCAACCTTACCTGTGCTACCGGCTTCTTGCCGCGAATCTCGTAAACCTGGGACGGCTTCACCGGTTTAGGCGGCGGCTTGATGGGTTGTCTGAACGCGACATCGTCGACGATCTGCTTCCTCGAAGCCTTAATGGGCTTCTGCGTTGGACGGTACTGAATGGGCGATGGGGGTAGCGTCGCGACGCTTCCGCTCCGGATGACGCTCGTCGGTGTCGCCGTCACCGTCACCGCTTGGGGCGGACGATACACGGGCGACGGTCCGGGGATCAGCGGTATCGCACCACTGAGCGTCCGCACCGGTGGATTAGGCACCGCCGTACGCGGCACCTCCTCGCTCACCTCCTCTTCGCTGTTCGGTTCCTGGCTCAGATCACGAGGCTCCTCGTACTCCTCGCGCTCGCGGAGGGATTCGCGCGACACGTTCTCTTCCTCGGGCTCCTCGTTCACCGGCTTCACGTGTTGTGCGATCAGCGGCGCGGGCGCCGGCAAATTCGGTCGTGGAATTGGACGGAACGTGCCGGATGCGTCGTCCCCAGGGCCACGAGGTCTATAATTTTATCATTTGACAAAGACATTAACAAATATTTAAATTTTAGATACTATGTACACACACGTGTGTGCCTGTAATACATGCAGGTTTTAAGAGCAAGTTTTTTGTAGCCATTTTTATGTGTATGAGTGCGCACATGTGCTGTTAATTAATCGTATATTTTATTAATTATATTAGTCAATATTAAATTATATTCATTATATTAACCATACTTTTAAATATCCAGTGTGAAATAAAGGGCTAATTCAGAAGCGCGATAAATTATGTTTGATTATATGTGATATATTAAAAATGCATATTTTTAATTTTTAATAAATTACATATAATCAAAGAAAAAACTTTTGCGCATCATTTATCGCGCTAGATTTTGAATTAGCTCTTTATTTTACATTCGATATTGTTATTATAAGTAATAACTATCGATTCTCTTCCGCGTAAATGGGAAATGCAAAAATTTTTAGAGATATTACAAAAACGAGAATTATAAACGAAAGACACGTGTATGAAACTATGAAGATTATTTTAATTTTCTCCATCTTTTCTTTGTCTCTCTGTAATAATAAATATACGTATATATATCCGTGACCACTCACATGGAACGGTATTTCTACTTTCTTGTTTCGCTTTACTAGTCTACCCAGAAGATTAGATAAATTCCCGATAAATTTGTCAGTAATTGCGCAATCAGAACGATTCTCAAATCATTGCCGGTATTTTAACGTTTCCCGCTCCGTGTAAGAATACGCGGACGTTGCATCAAACCTGGATTGTCCGTTCAATTAATTAGCAGCAAGTATATTTTGCACCTCCTAGGTAGATACGTGCACCACCCAAACTGGTTTTCCTTTCCAATAGCTTGAGAAACTCTATCCATATAGACGGATTATGTGGATACTTTATTAGAGTATGCGATTATTTCTATTCTGAGTTTTCTAACAAGGTCGCATTCTATTTCATTACATTGTCGAGGAATAAATGTAAATATTTTTTCTATTGAAATATTAATTATAATTTTCAACAGTTGACGATGATTAGAGCAAAGAAATATATAAAAATTAATTATCGCATACTCTATCGAGTTATTCGACACGATTAACCATCCCGTTCAAGCTAAATTGGATGATTAATGATCGTGTGCATACTTGAAGGAGATCGGCCGGCGAAGTCGCTGATTGGGGAAGGAAGGTGATGGTCCAGCACTTGGCCGAAGAGGTGGCGGTATTTTTTGATAACGTGTCGCTCGTATCGGAATCGGTGCCCCTTTTTGTTGCCCTTCTTGAAATTGTGCCGAACATGCGGCGATGCACGCCAAAATCTGAAATAAGAAATCTTAATTGTAATTTCCTGCTTTCTCTTCACTGTTATTTAAAAAACCTTAATTACATTAATTATAAAATACGATTATCTTTAACATGCAAAAAGTCACAATGAATGATTGCATTAGCATTTTAAACTCCGTATATTCTATCGATTTTTTATTTTATCGATCAATATATATATATATATATATATATATATATATATATATATATATATATATATATTTGGTCGAGCGTGTGTAGCTTAGTTCGTTAATTATTGCTCTATCAATATCGCGAATCGGGAGAGGATCGTTAAGACGGAATAGTTAATAGGTGTTATAATTATATTGTCTTTTACTGCGTTTATTCGGATTATTAAATACAGACTTTTACTCTCCACCGAGGAAAACCGTGTATCGCGAGCGCGAGTCAAAATCTATCTGCCCTTCGAGGCCGCGTATCGTCTTGCTT